GAACATAATCAATGTATAAAATGAGTGTATTAAATAAATAATATTTATTAATGTACCTCTATTGTTTTTTTAACACTTCAATAAAAGTGTCTCTGGGAAGAGATATGTTTGCTACCATTTTCATTTTTCGTTTTCCCTCTGCCTGTTGCGCCAACAGCTTCATTCGACGAGTTACATCCCCTCCATACTAGATTAATAAAAAGAATTTAGTTTGGAGAAAATTGCAATTCTGTTTTTACACACATTAAAGACTAAATTTATAATTTCTTTTAATAAAAACAATATTTTATACTTGATTATTAAATATCATTTTGAAACTGACGCTAATTTTTTTGTTTTTCTTTATTGTTGAGAACACCCCCAAATTATAACACTAATTAATTTGAAATGTTTGGGCTGAAATCTGCATTTTAACTTTATAAAATACTTTTTTGTTGATTAATGTGAACAATTGTTAAAATTATCACAAAATAAAATAAGCAATAATGATCAGGTTGAGAGCTTTTATAGAACCTTATAATTTAATATTATTTTTTCAAGTACTATTATAACTATTATAAGAATTTCACCGAAAATTAATAAACAGTAATCTTTTAAAATTATAAGATTTCTTGTATTTGTGTTACAATTTTTCTTAAATAAAATGTAATTATCAAGGACTACTCAAGAATACACCCGCAATGTAAACCAGAAATTGATGAAAATGAACTTACAAGTTTCGCTGTAACGTCCTTTCGAAATGCCTTCAGTGTCTCTCGACCGACTACTTTTCCATTTACAATGGCTTGAATGTTTATTTGGATTAATTGTCGCGGAATTATTTCTTTTAATCGTGAGCACATTTTTTTACCAATTGTAGAAGCTTTAGTAACGTGAACGATGTTACACAATTCTTCTACCTCCTTTCCATTTAGCAAAATATTCAACTAAAAAAAAGTAACCCCAATAAAATTAACAGAACTGAAGTCAAAAACAGATATTTTTTTTAATGCTAGTTTATAGCACTCCTAATATGCTTTCTTTAGTATACTTATCTGATCATTTAAATATTTATCATACCTTCACTAAATTACTTTTGCAATATCCATTGTCTTCATAATCGAACGTTGCATAGCCTGACGTTATCGTTTTTAAAATATCGTGAAAATCCATAACGATTTCGGACAAGGGTAGATCATATTGTAAAATCAGCCTATTATTATCTATATTGGTTGCTGACTTTTGAATACCTCTTTTTTCTATACACAACGACATAATGGGCCCCAGATATTCATCTGGCGTTATAATAGTACCTGAAAACAGTAATATTAAAGTTCTTTGAAAGCCCTCAACTTGATAATTATTGTTTATTTTATTTTGAGATAATTTTATAAATCTTTATTGTACATTGGGATGCAGAAAATGAAGAGTTTTAAAGAATCGTATATTATTTCCTATATATGCATTTTTTAATTATGTATATGGTATGATCAATTGCTGGTTTACTTATTTTCTAATGTAAAGTTTTTATAAAATCGATTTAAACATACCAATAACCATAGGCTCATAATATTCTTCAACTTCAAATGGTTCAGGAAAGTGAATTGGATTTGTAATATAAAGTTCACGTCCTGATTTAAGTGTTTGTTTTGTAGACTTTAACAGTATTTTATAAGGTACTGATGGGGCTGTTATTATTGAGTCAGCACCGTATTCTTGTTCAAGTCTTTGAGTGAATACTTCAAGATGTAACAGACCCAAGAATCCAAGTCTCCAACCTTGACCTAAGGCAGGGCTGTGCAACATTTATAATGAACATTATTATTATTTGAAATAGGGAAGTATTAATAAAAAATTTTACCTAAAATCATTAGACACTGTTACTGCGGAATCATTTAAGGCCAATTTCTCTATAGCTGTTCTTAAATTTTGTTGCTGAGATTGATCAATAGGATAGACACCTGCAAAAACCATAGGACGGGTTGCTTGGAAACCCTCAAGGGGTTCTATATTTTCACCTAATTTATGTATTGTATCTCCAATAACTGCTTCTTTACTTGAACGCATATTACAGCCAATAACACCAACTTGGCCTGCAGCTCTGCAATGTTTCATGTTATAAAAAGATTGAAATATGATTATAAAAAGTCATACAAACGTGATACACTGTATTCTTCTGGTCTTAAAATTGAAAGGCTTTTTACATCATAAACATTTTTTGAATGGAAAAGTGTAATTTTATTCCCCACTTCAATATAACCACTTGCAACATATACCAATGCCAGAGCACCTCGGTATTGATCAAACCAACTATCATACAGCAAAGCTCTGAATGTGGAATTTCTGTTAACATTTGGTGCTGGTATTTTATTTATAATAGCTTGTAAAACGTTATCAACCCCCAAACCGATTTTAGCTGAAATCTACTACAAATTACTACTAGTGATACAATTATTAAGAAAATATTTGTACCTTTAAAACTTCTTCCTGATCAATATCAAATAAATTTTTTAGCTGATTGCACACACGCTGAGGATTAGCATTTTTTAAATCTATCTTATTAAGAACTGGTATAATAACTAAATCCTTCTCAAAAGCTAAATAAAAGTTTGCTACTGTTTGTGCTTGCACACCATCATTAGCATCAACTAAAAGAATCACCCCTTGGCAGGCAGATAAAGATCGTGACACCTAACAACAACATTTCTACATACATATGTTTATGTATTTTTTTTACAAATAACATACCTCATTTGAAAAATCTACATGTCCAGGTGTATCAATTAGATTTAGTAAATACATTTCATCTTTACATTTATATAATAAGGAAACACTTTGAGCCTTTACTGTTATGCCTCTCTCCCTTTCAACTTGAAGTTTGTCAAGTATTTGATTTTTACCTGAACCTTTCTTTACTGCACCTGTGAATTCAAGTAAACGATCTGCAAGAGTGCTTTTCCCATGATCTACATGAGCTATTATACTAAAGTTCCGTATTCGTTCTACAGGTATTGAAGTGATATCTACAGTATCTTTGTTGTTACAGTAATTTCTTACCCATAACAGCTTTTTCCTACAAAGTAATATTCAAAAATAAATTGTATTTTGCCTAGCCAATTTGTAATTACCTGAAAATACAAAAACGATGTAGTTTTCTAATTAAACTTTTAGGAAAACTAATCATTTCGCACTATTAATGCATCTTTAAGTTTATACTTTTCTTATTTTTCGATTTCCCCGAATTAATTTAGTATATTTAATTATTAATGCTAATAACAGCAATACTTAACTATAACTTAACCTTACTTTTGAAAGCACATACGTAGATCAAATACATCATAGTTCAAATTAGTTCATTTGCATATATCAAACTTAGCAGTTCTTTAACAGTGGTACTATCAGTTCTCAGCAGTTTTCAAACATAGGACATTATCATATTTTTAAATTATTTTAACTTTAATATTCTAAGTATTATGTATTATTCTATTCTATATAAAATATTGTACCATTATCATTAACGTTGATGCCCCAGTTCTTTCACTTCACATTAATAGAGGAAAAATAAGCACTTACAAACTCCCTGCAAATCATGTAATCTCGACCAACTATTTATTGTATTTTACCCGATATAAGAAGAAAAAGTCTTATTCTAGTTTTTTTATAGCAAACACAAAAAATCGTACCAAAAAGGAATAAAAGAAAAGCTGTAATTAAGTAGCTTATCTATTACCTAAAATTTTATAGCACCATTGTTATAATACAACCTCCTCTTAAAAAATAGATAAAAATGATCAGACTTGTAAATAATATTAAGAAATGTTTTGTACATATTCATAAAAACGATTAGACCTTATATTCCTAGTTCCCGCCTTAAGTTATATTTTTAGTTCTTCATATAATTTCTTTAGATTTCTTCTCAAAATCTCTCCAGAAGAATTTTTAGGGATGCTGTCGACCACTAACACTCCGTTGTTTGTACATATTCATAAAAACGATTAGACCTTATATTCCTAGTTCCCGCCTTAAGTTATATTTTTAGTTCTTCATATAATTTCTTTAGATTTCTTCTTAAAATCTTTCCGGCAGCATTTTTAGGAATGCTGTCGACAACTGACACTCCGCCTCGTAACAATTTGTAACTAGTTACTTTAGGAGTCAAATATTCGTTTAGCTTTTCAGCATCAATTTTAGCGCCTTTCTTCGGAATCACATATGCTCTCGGTACTTCACCGTAGTTTTCATGGGGAATTCCTATGACTGCAGCGTCTTCGACTTGAGGATGGTCTCGAATTAGTTCCTCTAATTCCGCCGGCGCAACTTGGAAACCTTTTACCTTAATGAGTTCTTTCATCCGGTCAGTTACAAAAATAAAATTGTTTTCGTCATAGTAAGCTAAGTCACCTGTTCGAAGCCAGCCATCATCTACCATATTGGCTGTTTCTTCCGGCTTATTGTGATAGCCCTTCATTACCTGAGGTCCTTTTACTAATAATTCTCCTTTTTCCTTTGGTTTAAGAAGTTTACCGGTGGGATCATCGGGTGATACGATTTTAACCAAGGTATTAGGGACAGGGTCACCCACAGATCCCATCACATTGAATTCTTTTTTCCTTTCAATCGATAAAGTACTTACAACGGGTGATGTTTCCGTTAATCCATACCCTATTTTAAAAAATATTTATATAATTTAATATACTCAAAAAATTATCCCTGTTAATATTTACAGTTCCTACCTAAGTTAGAATAAATAAATTTTTCTTTTGACCAAAAAAAGAAGCCTTCTTAAATGATAATTAAGCAGAAAAAAGACATGAATCGGTATAGTTGTAAATCGATGTAAATTAAATACCAATGTTGTTTTTAAAATTTTAAAGGAAATTGCTATTTTTAACTTGAATCATGACCAACAATTAATTTATACGATTTATGTTGTATTGTAATGTGATGTTTATGTAATGTAGAAGCCTATTAATTTTATGTTATATATACAATATATAGGCATTAATTAATGTAATATACATAGTGTTCCAAAAATACTTTGCGTAAAAACATACCATTCGGTTTTCTGAAAAATACTAAAAATAAGACATTAATCTACAGTAAACTATAAAAATAAAAATGTTTTTGGAGCACCATGTGTATTCATAATTATTACAATTGTTTGATTAAGATAATTATTTATTAGTTACCTTGCAACATATTTACATCTTTTCCTGCCTTTTCTACGAATTTGGCTTCGTCTAAAGGGCCTAGGGGAGCTGCTCCACAAAATACACTCCGCAATGATTTATAGCACTCTTTCTTTATCATATTAGTGGTGTTCATGAAATTTACTAAAATGTTACCATTGTAATTATAATTTGAATAATTTAATAAATAAAAATATAAATTATACCAGAGTTTGTTATTGGTTTTACTTGCCTTTTCAATCAACAGTCCAACTGTTTTAATATTAACTTTCATTTCAATTAAATAAACATAAATTATTGCATGTTTTAAAATTACTAAGGGATACGGATTTTCTCATTGTTATTTTAATAATCTATAGATATTTTACCTATTGGAGGTACGATGAACAAAAGGCCTGGATTGTGTTCTTCCAAAACTGAAGTAAATAATTCCGGAGTAAACTTTGGAAGAGTTACTATTTTCATGCCAAAATGCAATGGGTATAGTGTTAGATTGGTGTGACCATAAATATGAAACATAGGTAAAACCGCTGGGATAGCTTCTTGATATGTTTCTACAATAAATAATACGAAATATACTAGTTTTCATTAATCATTCATTCATTCAAATGAATTTTTTTAGAAGGCTTACCGAATTGAACCCAAAATATACCTTTGTTTTTTCAACTTTCAAAGTCTTTTTTAGGATAGCATATTGATTTTAAAGACTATAAGATATTTACCTGTAGTGGGGATATGTAAATTGAAATTTGATATTTGCGTAATATTCGAAACTAAATTTCTGTGAGTTAATTCTACTCCTTTAGGCAGACCTGTTGTTCCACTAGAATAAGGCATCACCGCAATATCGTCAATTTTTGGAAAAATGAAATCATCGTTATCATATTTAATATCTGTTAGTTCTGTGAAATTTATGCTACCTCTTTCTGTTGATTCTGAAACCTAAATTATTTGTTTGTGAGCAAAACGAATATTATTACGAAATATTAATATTAACTTTAGTTTTTATTGATGTAAATAAAGATTATAGATTCTGTTTAAAGATAAATTAAGAGTTTAAATTTTTTTATTTTAATGGACCGTTTTTTTAATCAGTGTATGATGTAACGGCTATCATATTTTTTTAGTAGAATTCATTTTTATACTGTACCTGTGTCTTAATCGTTATAATAGGAATATTTTTCTTTGATAATTTAGTAGCATCGCTAGCAACTTGAAACATTGAATTCCATGTAAATATTGCTTTAGCATCGGCGTCTATGAGTTGCCTTGAAATCTCCTCTGTAAGAAAAATTAGAAAATTTCCTTTATTGTTATTGTTATCTTTATTTCTATTGTCATTAAATTAAAAAATCTTTGAAGTAGTTTAATTCAAAAATTGTAAAATAGAGTACCAATTACCTGATGTATATAAAGGGTTGAGCGTTGTCAATATAATACCACTTTGAAATCCTGCTAAAAGAATAATAGGATATTCAGGTGTATTGGGAAGTGATATTGCCACCACATCTCCTTTNATTGCGATAATGTGGTAAAGATTATAAGGGATATAATCTTTACAGCTACTTAGACAATTCTACAAATTCTCTAACTAATAAAAGCCTTAAGAATCCAAAAGTAATAAAACTTTAATGCTTGTGAATTAAAAGTGACGAATCCAAACTAAAATTGAAACATGTGCTCCTTACACTATACTATTTTAAATAGAAAATTTCTTCGCGCGTGTTTAATTAATTGGCATTTACGTATCTGTTATATATGTATTGCATGTAAATTAAAAATACACTTCTATTATAATATAATAGTGATAACAAAAAGGGCATGTTGTTGTCTTCAAGAATTTATTAAAATCGGACACAAGAAAAAACTGATAATTATTTTGTTAATTAAAATTACGTAGTTTGTTGTTTTAAGCTTGTACTATAAAATTATATAGTATTTGTTTACCCAAAGATATAATATGATAAAGGTTTCACATCCAGGTCAATCCAGTTATAATTTCTATATGCTTTATTTCATATAATAAATTGACTGGTAATTAGAATGATTAGAATATAAAATCAATTTTCATTACCGTTTTATTACAATGAGTATGCAACTTTGAAGTGCTTACGTAATTGAAGTAAATCGTTTATCTATCTATTCATGCATAGGTATCATCTATCTTGTTATTGAAATTTCTATTTAAATATAGATTTAGTTATTTATTAGTCCTTTAATTTACACAACGGCAACATTTTTTAGGCTTCATAACGTAGCATAGATAAAGATTAATGTTACCTGTTTATTTACATAGAAAATCAAATCACATTATCGCAATTATAACTTGAAAATTACAACTGTAAAATCAACGCGATATTATTTTTAATTTTACTTCTTACATTAAATTAGTTTGAGCAAAAAGTGCACAGTGATTCCCTAAATAATAAAAATTTAAAAACATGTATTAAATATTTCACAATCTGGTGAGCAATAAGTTCTTTTTTAAAACAATAGGAATTTTTCAAATTAACTATGATAAAAAATGAAACTTTTTTTCGCTATGACAAACGTTTTACTGTATTACGGCATTTTTTTTTTGTTATTAACAAACTGTACCACAAGAAATTTTAAAGCATGTATTGTGTTGTTAACAATGATACAATTATCGTTAATTAACTCTTATCGCTCAAACAATGATCAGAAAATAAAAATACAATAAAACATTTGTGTGGCAAAGTTCACTTCTAGATAATAACAAAAAGTAGGTAAAATCATCAAGAAAACTGCATAGTTTAAAAACATCATAATAATTTATAACGTCAAACTTACTTTATTTAATTTTTTAATCGACTTATGTAATTAAAATATTTAATACGTTTAATTTTAAATACTGCTTTAGGTATGACTATGGTCTAATTGAAAAAATTTGTTGTAGAAAATATTTTCATATCATTTTTTTTTCAAACATATTTGCAGCGTTGCAAAAATTCTTACAGTATCTCGTATTACCTTTGTTGTTCATTTTACATATTTCATTTCTATTTTTTATTGACTACACATGAACATGCTTTCCGATAAAAAAAATATAGGGGATATGAATCGACATAATTATTGTAGTTTTTGTACTAAGGTCAACAAGAAATTGAAAGTCATTCATACTGTACGTATAATGTACAAATAAATGCCTTTTAGTTTGTAATTTTTAAAGGCACGCGATTTGATAAAATGAAATAGATGCTATTTGTTTATATAATATATAATTATATTTAATCCTGATTTAAGTGTTTGTTTNGAGTAGTTAATATATTAATATAAACAATCCATTATACATACGTATACGCAATAACTTAAGTTATTAGTTTTCCAAAACTGTATAGTATTATCTATACCTATATATATATATAGGTACAATAAATTATTTTACTAATCTTGATTATCTTGTACTTAAACTTTGTACTTCGTACAATTATTTAACTTTAAACAGGAAAATAGCTTTCATAGTTTGGTTCGAGCTTGAGCGTTGATAAAAATTAACTTCTTCTCGTATGTATTGTACTTAATTTAATACACAAAAAAAGCGTAACTTTTACGCGAAGAGAGTAATTTAAATTACGATGCAATAAATTAGTTAAAATTAATTAGCAATTTTCGCCAGGAATGTTCAACTTTTAAATAAAAACAGAACAAGAAATTTGTTGTTATTAAATATGCTTATTATATTAAATTTTGGTAATGAATTATTTGGAATGAAATGGTCGCTTATCTACAGGGTCAAATACAATTCTAAAGCAGGCACACGTGTCGGCATACAGGGTGTTGTTTGAAATCCAACACTCTGTTTCAGATAAAGCCAATAATTAATAAATTTTGACAATATGGAAAATAATAAGTAAACAACTGCAGTTGTGTAAAATAAATCTCTTTAGCGCTTTTCCGTACATAGTTTTATGTATTTAGTTATAAGGGTTGAACCCGTAATTAGCAGTTTGTACTGTTAAAAAGACTATGATTATTTGTTTACTCTGAATATTTATACATACACAATAAAATATGTATAAATAACTTTAAAAGCATAAAACATATAAACTGTATTACACCACTGTTTATCACAATCAATGAGAATTTTATTAGCATTGTAAAATACGTAGAATGTAAAAAGACTTACAATAGCAGTTTTGTTAGACCATGAATTTATATTCTTGAAAAGCAATTCTGGCAAAGAGACATTAGGAATTTGCACTTGCGCGTGGGGCGATTTAATTACATCTTCATTTCCATTGTACGATCTGGTATCACTTTTATTGTTAGTAGCGTTGATACCAACCGCACGTTGATTTGATACGCTAAAGTGATTAAAAAATACGCAAGAATTTGAACTTTTGATTAGCCTTTTGTGGTTGCTAGACACAACTTTACGAAAAACACCTCCGGCCATTTGTGTAATTAATAAAAGCAATAATACATAAAAAGTATTAGAAACTAAAAACTACTTGCACCGATGACCGATTTTTATTCAACTGACACGAAATTAGATGCAGTTCTCCTCATATTAAATAATTTATGTTCGTAAACATATGTACATCTTACGCAGCGCGGCTTTGTTTAACTCGCATCTAATCGTAAATGACATACATAAATAGACCAAAAATGACGACACTCCTATCCTACCTAATCTCTCACTAAAGATTAAACGGCGTTTATTCATTTTGCTTTCTCTTTTTTCCCGTTATTTTGCTATATTATCATATTCATTGTATAAACATCCATGTACGTTTGCGTCGAATCAGTTTATATCATCCTTGATTTTTTATAATTAAAATGAGTACCTTGTTCATTATAGGCAGTCAAGTATAATGAAGTGTAAAGTGGGTTGCAGACATCAATAATTTTTTTAAAAACTAATTTGGAGAAAACTAATCGTCGGGATTATAAGGGATATAATCTTTACAGCTACTTAGACAATTCTACAAATTCTCTAACTAATAAAAGCCTTAAGAATCCAAAAGTAATAAAACTTTAATGCTTGTGAATTAAAAGTGACGAATCCAAACTAAAATTGAAACATGTGCTCCTTACACTATACTATTTTAAATAGAAAAATAAAAATATCGAACATTTGTTAGTCTATCGTTTTAAAGAAATGTTCGATCCACATTGTGCGCATGTTTTCCAAAAAGAAATGTAGGGAAATTGGAAAATGGTCAGTAATAATAGTAATAAAAAAAAAAGTTTTAAACGTCGTTTATTAAAACGATTACTTCATTAAAACGTTAAAATCAAACAGCATCGGCGGGGCGCTGTGTACTAGCAACTGGACGATGATTCTTGGCCAAATAGTCCGCGAATTCCTGGTAAGGTGTTTTTGTCAAAGGCATGTCTTTCCATAAGTCAGGTGTCAAGTATGCGTATGTTTTTGCAATAGCTGCATAAGTAGCCTTTGCAAAATTACCTAAAGTACCAGTTGAACCCCTAGCTGATGTATAACAATCCTCGATACCAGCCATTTGAAGTAATTTTTTTGGAACAGGGGCTGAAACTATACCAGTACCACGAGGTGCAGGTATTAGACGTACAGCAACAGAACCACATTTACCAGTTACCTGAATGCCCAAATTCATTAATTTCAGAAAAAGTAAAATGAGATTCTGTATTTTTAAATCGACTGAAATAATTGTTCACAACTTTGTAAACTGACTGATTTTTGAAACAATCAGTCAATCTGCTCGTTGTGACTTAATTTAGCAAGGATGAGATTAATCGAAGAAACCACTAATACAGCTCTTCAACCCTGAACCTTGCAAACATATTAAAGATTAAAATATACTTAGCTCACCTTACATGGTACAGTATGAGGTTTACCAATCTTATTACCCCAATATCCCCTGCGAACAGGAACAACAGATAATTTGGCCAGAATTATAGCACCTCGAATGGCAGTAGCTACTTCCTTGCTGCACTTGACACCTAAACCGATATGTCCTTTGCTATCCCCAATAGCTACAAATGCCTTGAAACGAGTACGTTGCCCAGCACGAGTTTGCTTCTGGACAGGCATGATCTTCAAAACCTAGTACAATTTATTCTGATTAAGGACCAGTTAACTACAATAACAGCTTATCAAGTTAATGGAGTTAAGCTCAGATATCTTAGGCCATCATAAGAAATAAATTCCTCTGGTGAAAACCGCGAAAGAATAACCAACAATCATCATAAAAATACCCACCAACTTAAGTAAATGTAAAAAATACAATACTATAATTTCACCCACCTCATCTTTTAAGTCAGAACCAATAAAGTGATCAATTATTTCGCATTCTTTGATGGGCAATGAGAATAAATAAATTTCTTCCAGAGACCGAATCTTGTCATCACGAACGAGACGACCAAGTTTCGTTACTGGAATCCATTCCTTGGAATCTTCTTTTCCACGACCACGTCCACGACCGCGACCACGACCTCTACCACGAGGGCCACCACGTCCTCTTGCCCCACCAAATCCACCACGAAAACCGCCTCGGGCTGGAGCTGAGTCCGCCATTCTATTATAATCATAAATTACACATAAACTGATGAAAGACAAGATAATACAACACGCATTTAGCAAATAGCATATTTGTGATCATTCTGTGTCCTAATATTTATAACCTAAAAACACGTGGTCATAAAAATGCTATCAAAAGTTTCAGAAAAATTAACTAATTCAGTATATTATTTCTTATAACTGATAATTCTTATAAACAAACGACTTTGATAAAATATTGTGACTTTCTTTGAGACCACGATTGGAAAATGGAAAAATACTTACATTTACCTTTCCTACCGATGATCGGAAGAAACAGAAACAAAGATGGTTTCTGCTCGGCTTTTATCTGCTATTATCTATGGTTTTTATTTTTCTGCACCCATAGATTTATGCACCTTAAGTTGCGTTCAATTGCACTAAATTAGAACCAATTGCATACTATATCTGCATACAGAATATGTTTTCCATAATCTACATTAACTTGTTTTGAGAAATTAAAGGATAAATTTTTTAAACTTAAAACTTTATTATACTTTAAGTGAAAAGTGAGTAAAAAGTATGAATACTAATTAGTTGAATGTATTACTAGTCAGTCATTAAAATCCATAACCAAATTTTACAACAAATGATAAACAAAGAGCCATAACCTCACATGTGTTATGAATTACAAAACAAAGTATTGTGGATCTCTAAAAACTTTTTTGGAACTCGAATTAGCATTTCCTTCCTACTATGGCTACAGTAGAGGAAAAATATACAATGGAACAAAAAATTGTTGCAGCATGTTGGGTTCACGAAAAGAAATACAATAACCAATCTTGGACAGATATCATTACAAACTTCAAAGTAAGATTTGGTCTGCGACCCCCTTCGGAGAAGCTGTTTATAAAATGGGAAAAACAACTTTTTAACAGCGGCACTGTAGGAGCAAAAAGAAACAAACCACACGCTTTGCAAAGATTAGTACATGTACCTTACGTAAAAGCTTCTCTTAAAGAACATCCTAATTTGAATGCCACAGAAAGAGCAAGACTTTTGGGAATTAACCGATCGCAATTATTAACAATTTTGAAAGAAGATCTTCATATGAAATTTAACAATGACAGGGATAGCCCAAGTGGAGGAAAGTGGGTTAGCATCTCTCAAAAGGAACAAGAAAGCAATGATGAAAGTAGTAATGAAAGTAATCATGAGCAGGAAGAAAGTTAATTTTGTGTATTATTATATGATGATTTACCTATGACATGAAATAGGAAGTTTTTTTTATCATCTGTATACGATGTACAGAGTGTCTTATCATATTTCAAAATAAGACCTATAAAAAGTGTTCCAAATAAAGCCTACATGGATTTAGATGCTACATTTTTAAATTTGTTGATGATAGAAAGGGATCAGACATGTATAAACATAAAAAAATTAAATAGTGCTATTACTTAAACTTCCTTTCTCTTCAATAATAAAAATATATATTACTAGTTGCACCAATTTTTTACTTCTGTAGACAAGATAGTATTGAAGTACTAAAATCAACAGTAGTTGAAACTTTCCTACATATAATCATTCTATATAATCAGTAACATTTTTGAAAATATATTAAATTATATTTAATGTATGCTTTTTATTTTTTTTATTAAACTCAATTGAAGCAGAATCAAATGTGTGTTTGGTAAAAATCGCAAAGAAATCAAAATTATATGAAATTCACATATTTTAGAAATATATCAAGAAAAAATTGTAAGTGTAATAATTTAATTAGTACTTCATTAACTTTCTTGAAGTACATTTCTTGTGGTATGTACATAGACTACCTAATTGTATAAAAGTTAATCAAAGAAGTTTTAATTAATTTCTATAGTATAATAGGTAGAGTTATTATTTTTCTCACTACTTCTAACGCCTTTTTTCGAAATAATTCCCTTTTAAGAATGAGCTTGCACTACATACAAAACTGTACTTGTACATATGTATACATATAGATCTATATATTTACTCTAGTATTACGGATTACATTCGTCAGTCAGATTCCTTTTCCCGAACGAGTAGCAAAAGATTAAATAAAAAAGTTACATAAAGTTAAAATAAAAAATATTTCCTACTTAGCAATTTACATACGAAATGGAAAACTGTACAGATTTAAAATCAAGACTGAAAAGGTGGTGGAATAATGTTAAATTAAAAGAAAGTTTACAACATTTCGGATTGTTAATAACTTTGTGTGCATATGCTGCTATGGGAGGATTTGTAAGTACCTTTTTTTCATAGTGGTTTTAAATAAAATGTTTTCCTTTTCGCTACTCACTGTCTACATGGATGTTTTTTATTTATTATTATATATATTTTTGTCCTTTAAAAATAATTGAATAGCTTCTCTTAAGGAGTATAAGGGTAATGTGTATATGGAATTTTTATTAAAAACTGATTCAGTTTGTGGTGTAAGTATGTAGAGTAAATGTCTAGCTATTTTTAAAAAGTCAAGTCGTAAAATACAAATTTTTTATAGCAGATTAACAGCTTACTTTTATAACCCCCGTTTAAAATTCAGCGTTTAAGTGTGCTTACAAATAGATTTGTTTGTACTTAATTCGTACAGAAAAAAAAGCATCAACAATTTATAGAGACAAATAATTGCTGTACTTTGATTTGATTGTATTTTTATACATTTTACAAGTGAAAATTTTTAACTATTACACAATACCGTACCACGTTTTCTTATATAAAAATTTCGTTAAGAATATAGAAATAATGTACCACATTTGTGTCTTTTCATATTTTCTCTATTCGTATGTTTATAGATAAACGTATATTTAGACAGTTTTGTTTTTAAAATTGAACACATATTAAGCGCTTTCTTTCAGTTAAATAAACAATTACTTTTGCACTCACTTAATCTTAAATAATTCGCACATCTGCATTTAAAAAGCCAAGGCTGAATTTATTTCTGTAAATTTTATATGTTATAAGTTGTATCAAATGCATTTAAGACTAAACAAGTACTTAAAATGTAAATGATACCTGTAGAGGGGTAACGTGTAGGAAAATTCTAATATATTGTAATATGTATACACTTTTTTTTTAAGAAATCGCTAAATCTGTCTAATATGTACCGCAATTTTCTTTGGAGATGCTGAAGAAAAATTCCGCATAAATTGAAAGAAATGTGTTGGACTTATTTTCTTTTAATAGATATTTCGCTACTTTGAACACCCTGCTGAAATTGACCGTTTGCAACGCCTAAATTGGGTTGTTAATTTGAAAAAACAGCTTTTAATAGAAGTAATTGTAAACAGTTCCCAAAAGGAAAATTTGGAAGATGTAATCCTTTCAGAGTTAGAAAGATATGAGATCGTCTTACACGAAGCTTTTAGCGGAGGGTTGTTTAACAATGGAAAAATTTACAATGTCTTTCTAGAAGACGACGTATTTAACAAATGGACAATTTTAAAATCAGTTTTCTTTTCATCCACAATTTTAACAACCATAGGTTAGTAAGTAAAGTATTTCAAAAAACTTACTTAATGTAAATAGTCAATTTTACAATTACTAAAATTATTTAAATTTTTGGGCAATATCATACTGTCTCGTAAACAGATTTACATTTAAAAGCAGGGGTTTTGCAGATATTCGGCGCGTTCAATTTTCATAATAGTGATGCTAACTTTTCACATTTACCGCTTTCAATTTCAGGTTACGGAAATATTGTGCCCATGACTACAGGAGGCCGAGTATTTTGTATTCTATTCGCTTTTATAGGAATTCCATTAACTTTAACTGTGATTGCTGATTGGGGAAGGCTTTTCGCTTCAGTTGTTTCCACTTTTATGCGTTATATGCCACCCCTCCCACATTCAGTTAAGTAAGGCCGTTAGATTAACAATAACTCTTTATAATATACCGTTTCCCTCTTTTTTAGAAATGTCTCAAAGATCAATAGGACATCGTTCTACGCGCTCGCAGCTGTATGCTTCCTATTTGTTTATTTAGCTGCGGGTGCCGCTCTTTTTGTAATTTGGGAAGACGAATGGACTTTCTTTGATGGATTTTATTTCTGCTTCATAACTATGACCACAATAGGTTTCGGTGATCTTGTACCAAGTTAGTAGAATTATATGCAAATTGATTTCATTAAATTTTCAAGCGCTAATTACAATTAACTTTGCTGTATTTATGCTCCTGTAGCACTCACTATTATGCAATTTTATATGTTACTTTACANATTGATTTCATTAAATTTTCAAGCGCTAATTACAATTAACTTTGCTGTATTTATGCTCCTGTAGCACTCACTATTATGCAATTTTATATGTTACTTTACAGAACTTCATTAACTTTCTTGAAGTACATTTCTTGTGGTATGTACATAGACTACCTAATTGTATAAAAGTTAATCAAAGAAGTTTTAATTAATTTCTATAGTATAATAGGTAGAGTTATTATTTTTCTCACTACTTCTAACGCCTTTTTTCGAAATAATTCCCTTTTAAGAATGAGCTTGCACTACATACAAAACTGTACTTGTACATATGTATACATATAGATCTATATATTTACTCTAGTATTACGGATTACATTCGTCAGTCAGATTCCTTTTCCCGAACGAGTAGCAAAAGATTAAATAAAAAAGTTACATAAAGTTAAAATAAAAAATATTTTCTACTTAGCAATTTACATACGAAATGGAAAACTGTACAGATTTAAAATCAAGACTGAAAAGGTGGTGGAATAATGTTAAATTAAAAGAAAGTTTACAACATTTCGGATTGTTAATAACTTTGTGTGCATATGCTGCTATGGGAGGATTTGTAAGTACCTTTTTTTCATAGTGGTTTTAAATAAAATGTTTTCCTTTTCGCTACTCACTGTCTACATGGATGTTTTTTATTTATTTTATTATTATATATATTTTTGTCCTTCAAAAATAATTGAATAGCTTCTCTTAAGGGGTATAGGGGTAATGTGTATATGGAGTTTTTTATTAAAAACTGATTCAGTTTGTGGTGTAAGTATGTAGAGTAAATGTCTAGCTATTTTTAAAAAGTCAAGTCGTAAAATACAAATTTTTTATAGCAGATTAACAGCTTACTTTTATAACCCCCGTTTAAAATTCAGCGTTTAAGTGTGCTTACAAATAGATTTGTTTGTACTTAATTCGTACAGAAAAAAAAGCATCAACAATTTATAGAGACAAATAATTGCTGTACTTTGATTTGATTGTATTTTTATACATTTTACAAGTGAAAATTTTTAACTATTACACAATACCGTACCACGTTTTCTTATATAAAAATTTCGTTAAGAATATAGAAATAATGTACCACATTTGTGTCTTTTCATATTTTCTCTATTCGTATGTTTATAGATAAACGTATATTTAGACAGTTTTGTTTTTAAAATTGAACACATATTAAGCGCTTTCTTTCAGTTAAATAAACAATTACTTTTGCACTCACTTAATCTTAAATAATTCGCACATCTGCATTTAAAAAGCCAAGGCTGAATTTATTTCTGTAAATTTTATATGTTATAAGTTGTATCAAATGCATTTAAGACTAAACAAGTACTTAAAATGTAAATGATACCTGTAGAGGGGTAACGTGTAGGAAAATTCTAATATATTGTAATATGTATACACTTTTTTTTTAAGAAATCGCTAAATCTGTCTAATATGTACCGCAATTTTCTTTGGAGATGCTGAAGAAAAATTCCGCATAAATTGAAAGAAATGTGTTGGACTTATTTTCTTTTAATAGATATTTCGCTACTTTGAACACCCTGCTGAAATTGACCGTTTGCAACGCCTAAATTGGGTTGTTAATTTGAAAAAACAGCTTTTAATAGAAGTAATTGTAAACAGTTCCCAAAAGGAAAATTTGGAAGATGTAATCCTTTCAGAGTTAGAAAGATATGAGATCGTCTTACACGAAGCTTTTAGCGGAGGGTTGTTTAACAATGGAAAAATTTACAATGTCTTTCTAGAAGACGACGTATTTAACAAATGGACAATTTTAAAATCAGTTTTCTTTTCATCCACAATTTTAACAACCATAGGTTAGTAAGTAAAGTATTTCAAAAAACTTACTTAATGTAAATAGTCAATTTTACAATTACTAAAATTATTTAAATTTTTGGGCAATATCATACTGTCTCGTAAACAGATTTACATTTAAAAGCAGGGGTTTTGCAGATATTCGGCGCGTTCAATTTTCATAATAGTGATGCTAACTTTTCACATTTACCGCTTTCAATTTCAGGTTACGGAAATATTGTGCCCATGACTACAGGAGGCCGAGTATTTTGTATTCTATTCGCTTTTATAGGAATTCCATTAACTTTAACTGTGATTGCTGATTGGGGAAGGCTTTTCGCTTCAGTTGTTTCCACTTTTATGCGTTATATGCCACCCCTCCCACATTCAGTTAAGTAAGGCCGTTAGATTAACAATAACTCTTTATAATATACCGTTTCCCTCTTTTTTAGAAATGTCTCAAAGATCAATAGGACATCGTTCTACGCGCTCGCAGCTGTATGCTTCCTATTTGTTTATTTAGCTGCGGGTGCCGCTCTTTTTGTAATTTGGGAAGACGAATGGACTTTCTTTGATGGATTTTATTTCTGCTTCATAACTATGACCACAATAGGTTTCGGTGATCTTGTACCAAGTTAGTAGAATTATATGCAAATTGATTTCATTAAATTTTCAAGCGCTAATTACAATTAACTTTGCTGTATTTATGCTCCTGTAGCACTCACTATTATGCAATTTTATATGTTACTTTACATAAAAAGGAAAAGTATTACACATTACAATTTTAACCAAACACTCATTCAATTCTCTTTTTTATTTTAGAGAAGCCAAAATATATGTTACTCTGTACCTTATATATATTGGTAGGCTTAGCCTTAACTTCTACTATAATAGAATTAGTAAGAAGGCAATACCTTAAATCATGGAAGCAGTTACAAGCCCTTTCTGGTCCTTTTGCAGAAACTCTTAAAAAAATGGCAGAAAACGCTCCTGGTTTAGATGTCACGACCTTCCAGAATGATCTAAAAAAATATTTAACTGTTGTAAGATTTTGATAAATAAATAAAATATATGTTCCCTTACCATTTGAGAAAAAAGTAATTTATGTTATCTATAGTAATAGTTTGTTCTTGTAGGTATCTACGGCTAAAAAATATGGAAGTAGTTTTAAAAAATCAGGAAAAAAGAAACGTCAAAAAGAATTAGAAGAAGTGATGGAAGCTGTAATACGGGATCTTGCTGTCAATACTGCCTCTAAACAGAGACAATCCGCAATAGTAAAAATTGTTATTTACGAAAGTTCAGTTTAAATAATAATATGTAAGAAATTTAGTTACTGTGTCTAAAAGAGAAGAAAATAATTTATTCGTAAAACCTAAGACGAAAATCAAGTAATATCGTCCAAGAGTAGAAACACAGAATCATGATTTATATTTCAAATTATAACAAGTATTATACTAATTTATTTTTAGCAGTGCTCGATTTCAATATTTAAAGTTTTTCACACATTCTAATGCAACGCAGTATTAAATCATATCTTTATTGGTTTTCAATGTAACCAGTTATAAATAGTATTAAGTAAAGGAAGCGCAATTCAACTTTTCCTGTGTAAATAATCAAATATGTACAGCATTAAATTTAAGTTCAAATACTCTACTGTTTTATTTACAAACTAGTAAAAGATAATTAGGGTAAATCCAATTATTTCTACTCAATTTTTTAAAATTGATATAGATACAGCATTTTACGTTTTATAAATTGAACTGAACACGAACTGTTTAGGTAAATTTTTGTTTTATAAAAATAAATGAAAAAAAAAATATTTATACATATAAATTTGTTTATTTAGCTTTTGGAATCCCATAAAAAAATACATCACAAATTTTTTTATTCAAGAACTGATGGGAAGCCAATGTCTCATTAGTACTAAGGTACGTATGAAAATAAACCTAAAGAATAAATAATTACTGTACAATAAATTGTGAAGACTATAAAACTGATGGCTTAGATTTTGAAAATCTATTACTGGTAAAATACGGCAATGGCAAGGAATATTAATTCCCAAAAAGTTCACGTTAATTAACTCAACATTACTTTTACATAGTAACCATTTTTTAAAGTATTAGACTTCAAAATTACCACTCACTGTTGCAAATGGTCTTACATGCAACGCTTCTCTTTTTTAAAATAATAACAACAAACGCTCACTGATTCCATTAACTTATTTAAGCGTTTATTTTTTTTAAAAGACAAGTATGAAGATAAATTCTTTCAATATATTAAAATGCAAAGAAACCCTTATGTAGTAATGTTCCTCATTTTGCTTATCGTCTAATGTTAGCGATTCAACGCATAAAAAATAAAAACACAGAATTGTTAAAATGAAAAATAAAACAAAATTATTCTTTAACACCCGTTTATGAAAAATTTAAAACGCTATTACTGTTTTCGGGTATTTTCTTACTGTTTTTGTCTTCAGCTTACGGCTGTTTATTTAAAAATTCCTTATAAACGAGATTACTTATAAAAATATCGAATATTCTTAGCATGCATTAATAACAACGAAGTATAAAACTTGTATAAAAAATGACCACCTTTATCTTAAGGCACATTTATGGCCCAAAACGTCTGAAATATTTCTAACACAGTTCAAATGTCCGTCCCTTTTTTCACTATTTACAGGTGTTAGAAAGATAAGGGTTCCCTAGGAGACAACGAAGATACGTGCATATATTTACTACTTTTGTACTTTTCCTGAATGCCTTGCTGGAGCAAACTTGGAGCTTTTACAAACATTTCTTGTAAGAAATCAATGGTTTTTTTGAGGTCAGTCAACTGAAAACCAGTATTTGTGCTTAGTTCTTTCGTCCAAGGGTCCATCTCCAAATTATGACGTGCAAGAGCAACGGCCGAAGCTGCTATCACCGATGGTAAATTTTCCAGATATGGATCGGCTTCTAGCATCGATAGTTCACTCAAATACTAAAAGACAGGTTGCATTATAGTATGTACTCGACTGTATATTTCCTATTATTTATAAAATTATATTTTGATATTTGTGTATGTAACTCCTTTCATATAGGACAATTAAACAAATAATAAACTCACCATAGCAAGATACATGACTTTCTTAGACAACTGATTGGAAATGCAAATGGCAGTAATAAAAGTAAGTGGAGTAGGTACAGACAAGTCGAAAGAAAGTACTTTAAGTATGAGATGTTCCATACGTATGACCTGCTTCTTGTTGTAGGTGTCATCAGTTATGTAGACAAATTCTCCTACATCTGGAGGAATAATTTCCTCATATTTTCTGTAACATGCAATATGGAATACAGGAAAAATAACCCACTATTTTTTTTTATAAAACTTACGCGGCAATGAACATGGCAGCAGTTCCCACTAGTTGTAATTTGGTCCTAACAACGGACATGTAGCTCAAAAAACGGTCGATGAAATTTACGGCAAGATACAACGTTTCAGTTTGCAGACGATACTCTTCGGCTACTTCAACAAGCCAATCGACCAAGATTGCACGCATGTTGTAGGTAATATCCGGCTGTTTTCGCATATATCCCGGTTTGGGTCTATTACGCAACTAATAAAACGAAAAATTAACATATTCAGCTAATATTTCAGGTTTAAATAATTACAAAAATTATTTAACAAAAAGAAATAGAATATATGTAGTTACAAAATTACTTTTACTCATCATAAGATGATATACTGTTTTGTAAAATTTAGGACTTAATTTACTATTCTATCTGTTTTTTCCTATAAAATAAGCCCTACAAGATATTAAATGTAGATTAATTAGCAAATTTTTAACAACATTGATACTACAAATTTAGTTAACCAGCGTTCTTTTCTTAGTTAATTAGTTATATTTAAAAATGCCCAATTTTATAGATTGACTTCGCATATAGAACTTCTATTATAGTACATAATACCTTCCAATTAATGATTATAAATATTAAGAAGTTTACCTCATGTTCTCGCAGGTATAAATAAATGTCCGTGCGATATTGAGGCATCTCGAAAAAGAGATCTCTCGAAGTTTTAGCTATAATCTCTCTGTTCAACTTGTTTTCATTCTGCAGATCATCTGTTAATGACTTTTCTATACTCATAGGAGAACCAGCATCAATACTCTCGATTATTGGTGACTTCAAATTTTTGTCAGATGCAACTTTTAATGCATGTAGAGCTTTCAGTTTTTCTTCTTCCTCTTCCTTCCTACTTTGAGCATCTGCTTCTTTTTGTTTTCTAATAGCTTCAATTTGCAACTGCCTCTTCTGTTCTAGTTCTTGTTTTCTTTTTGCTTCCATTTCTAGCCATTCTTTCTTCGTAATGAACTTATCTTCAGCTGTTCCCTTATAAATTTCAGCATAAGGGTCCCGATTTTTACGTCTTCGTTGACATTCTTCCAATTTCTTTTCCAAATCATTTTCCTTACTATCTTCTCCAACTTTAAAAGCTTCAAACTGAGCTACAGGAACTACAGGTGGAGGAAGTTTTTGAATGTTCTGCTTGTTGAGATTTTCATTTGCTTTGATATTAGAAATTCCCAAAGGCTAAGAATAAATGAATACTATTACATTCAGTTAGGTTTTTTGTCTGTCTTGCTTTTTTAAAGCTATTTTTACAATTAAAATCCAAGTTAAAATTTTAAAATAAAATTTACCATCTTTTACAATTTATTTAAATAAACTTACTTGCTGAGTTTCAACAGACATTTATTGGGCTTCTTATACCCAGCTTTTATAAATAATAAAGTTTTTCATAAACTCACTTTAAAAACTTTAATATCAGAATAAAATGAAACAAATTCAATAAATGGAGATACAGAGATCACAAAAACTATCCAAGGTAAATTTGATAAGCTGGTATCAAATTAGAAATTAACACATATCAAAAACTTCGTCTTTTTTGCAATATAAATTAAAAAATTGAATATTGTTTTATGTTCGGAAATAAATTGTTCAACACTAGTTCGATCTTATTAAAATAAATGGATGTAAGCAATAAATAATTAACATGCTATAATTCCAAGATCACCTGTAAAAGACCGCTAAAACATGTTACATCCAACCGTAAATGGTCTCAATATTACGGAAGAAAAACGTAATTAGAGTACATTTACCTGTTTATTTTTCAGTGGTCTATCGATGTGATTGTCTAATTGTCCTAAAATTGTTCTTTTTAGTTGTGTAGGAGCCATCACATTAATTTGTTTTTGACGAATTTCCGGCACGCGGTTTTCTTGGTCTTCATGGATACGAAAGGATGCCATTATCGTATAATAAAAATTAAAATATTACGGAAAAGTAGGTGCAAAAAGGCTAATCAGATGTAAGGAGGAATGACTGGAAAGGAATGTTGTAATTTAAAAATTGTTTAGCTTGATGCTTAAACGGATTTAACCGACCAAACACCTTTTCGACATTGGTAACACTCTACACGCATGAAGGAACAGCTGAAGCGGTTGTATTTGATTCTTGTTTGATTCTTCCAGATGTCAAACGAACCAATGAGCAGTAACTATACAGTCACGTGTCATACGGATACAAACGGCACTAAATATTTTTCAACTTTCAAACAAAGTGCTTCTTTCTATTACTCGATAAAACTACTTATGCCACGTTTTAAATTAAAATATATTTGTTATAAATAAAAAGCAAGTTTTATAACTCAAGTGGCATAAAATAAGCGCTTATAATGTTTCGTAAATAAATCTGACTTGACAGTAAACACTAAAGTCCCCCCTTTGTTTTGTAGTTGTCAATCGTTGAACGTTAATTAACTGCCAAATTTAAAATTTACTTTTCCTTATCTGTATATTTTATAATGCCTTTAACATTATTCTACTTACCCTCTTTATCTTAAAATAAACTTATTTATGGTGTTATTGGTGAGTTTCTTATATAAACCGTTTCATTTCATTTTCTATATGTCGGTTCAGTTTGGTGAGTGACTATTTGAATATATCCGTTGTTCAATTCAAAGAAGTATAACCAGAGAAGAGAGACGTCTTCTCTGGTATAACCTAACTTAATAAAAAGCAAGATAACCTCACATTTTGTATAATGGCAAAACAATATAAGTATGGAATCTTACTATAATTTTGTAAATAATTACTTATATTTAATATATTTCAGAACTCTTCATCCACAAAAATATTATAGAGACTACTTAGCACATAATATCAGGCCTGATGGCCGAGACTTGGATTCTTTTCGACCTGCTGTACTCAGTTGCGGTTCGATTTCAACAGCAAATGGGTCAGCTATAGCAAAGATAGGTCAAACTACAGTCGTGTGTGGAATTAAGGCGGTAAAGGAATTATTCTTTTACTTTAAATTTATCCTTATAAAAAGTTGTATGTTTAGGAACTATGTCAACCAAAAGCAGACAAACCAGAAGAGGGATTTATTATTCCCAGTGTAGAATTACCACCTTTATGCTCTTCAAAGTTTAAACCAGGTCCTCCAAGTGTTGAAGCTCAAATAGCAACTCGCTTATTGGCTGATATCATTGAGAATTCAGAATGTATTAATACAAAAAAGTTATGCATTACAAAGGAAAAATTAGTTTGGTGTTTGTATGCAGATCTTATATGTCTAGATCATGATGGAGCACTAATTGATGCATGTGTTTTAGCTTTAATGGCTGCACTCAGAACAGGTGTGACTTAAATTTATTTACTTTTAACCAATTACTAATTTTCTTCGTTTCGTTATTTAGTGTACTAATTACTTCTGTGACATTATCCCCCTGTACGTAAAAAATTGCATCATCTGCAAATAGATGACATTTAGTCCTACTACTGTTCATGATTATATCATTAACNTAATCTCTTTCCAACGAAGAGCTGCCGTAAAAAAAATATTGCACAAACATGGCAAATAACTTCTAATTTCGAATTATAAGTTAAATTATTAATTTATGCAGGGTAATTAACTAAAAATTAAGAATTTTGAACTATAATAAATTAATTTTACTTAGATCTATTATGAGTGATCCAACACAGGAGGAAGAAGAATTATCTACTACAGTATTAACAGTAGTATTAAAAGGTAACGAATTATGTTTAGTTCATAAACCAGGTGGTACAGCATTAAGTGAAAGTGAGATGTTTGATTGTATCCAGCGAGCTAAAGACAGATCCCAAAATTTATTAAAACTGTTGAATACTACAAGTTGAATGGTGTAGTTATCTATAAGAAAAAATACACTTTTTTAATTTGCATATTAATTTCTGTTATGAATTTCCAACACCAGAAAGTCTTTTCTACAAGTACAAAATAACTGAATGAAAGAAGTAAAGATTTTAGAACAACTTTATTACATTACTTCAAGATAAATTGGCTTTATTTGTATTTTTTTTATGTAAAAAAAACGTACCAATTGTTTCATTAAATCTCTGTCGTCAACACAGTTCCTTTTGGTTCGGCTTTATCGGCATTGTCACTTATGGTTTTGTGTGCTTTCATTGCAAAAAACTAGAACATTAAAACTGATACTACAAAGCAGGCAAAGATATAAATAAAATCGCCAAATAATATTAAAACATGTAGGTATGTTATATTTATGTACAGTAATGTAATAACAAGTATGCATATAATTTACATTCTTACAAGACGACGCAACACCATTTATACAAAATTAAATTATAATAAAACCTTATCCATCTATACAAACATTGTACAGATAAATTTGTACATAAAGTATACATTACAAAAATATATGTTTATTGAGAAAACACGACGAACGCATTTAAAATAATACAATAAGATACAAACATAAACTTTTGTAGTCTTTTACGTTTATTGTAGCTAATATATCTACTATAATACAGATTTCTGTTTCTGTTTATATATACATTACAGCAATACAAGAGTTTTTTTTAGCTTGAATGAAGACAAATAACAAAAAATGTGCGTATGGAAGCTGCATTATTTAATAAAGAAGGGAATTTTTGTAATTCCTTCTTTCAAAAGCAATGAAATTATTAGTCAGTGTGTAAACCCTGAGCTGAAATAGGATAAAATCTGCATGCTTCTATACGCACACCATTAGACAAACAGTTATTTTATCCATTCGTAATTATTATTTCAACCCATTTTTCAAATAGGGAAATAAAATTATACTATTAAACTGTAGACATCTAAAAAGTTTGCTGATATCGTAAATCACGTGATGGATAAATAATCTAGAACTTGTCACTTCGATTTGATTATTAACTACAGTTTATATTTAATTGTAACAGCTAAGACTTTTATTACTTATACACGTTCTAGAACACAAGTGTTTTTCAATTTAAAAAGTTATTCGATGCAACTTGGAACGTTATCAATGTACAAATGTTTGTTTTTTCATTTGCAATTCTTTAAAAATAATTCTGAATATTTGTTATTAAAGAAAACATGATAAATGGTTCTCAAATTTATCGTCGTGCAAAAATCATATAAAAAAATAATATACTCCTTACGATAGAAAAAAGTCCATAACCATTATTTACGTATGCTTGTTCGTTATTTTTTTCAAGGACCGATATTATTTTAACATCTCATGCAACTAGAAAATAATGGTATTCAATTTAAGAGAGGTTATTCAATTCGTTAACTTAATAATGATTTTCTGTATTTAACATTTCCAAATACGATTGTTTTGTTTAAAAAATGTGGCAGTGCTGTAAAGTGTAAATTAAATTAAATACCTATCTTGAGCATCAATATTCATGACTTTTTTCTACTTTTAAGTACATAACACTTAAATAACGCCATGAAGGTTCTTATTTGAAGTATTTCAAAACTTAATATTGTCCACCCCTCGTGACTTCGGGGAAAGTCACACGAATTTTGAACTGGTTGTAAATCAGATGAAAAAATTGTTAATAAGACAAAATACAGCAGGAAGAAGAAAAAATGTACAGCTAAACAATATAAAAAATTTAAAAAAAGGAAAAGTTATTAAATTTCAAATTAAGTGTAAATGTAATCACTAATAAATGTGAATAAATAACGTCTTTAAAATATAAGTAAATTCAAGGCATGGTAACAATTTAATTAAAAGATACTCAGAATAAGAACCACCACTGCTAATGTAATTAATAACATAGCACTTCAAAAATGGTGACAAATATCTAGAAATATTTGTATTAATTTTTTTTTTAATTTTATTGCATCGTTCTCTTTTTTACTTTTCTTACTGAAAAAAGAATAATTGTAAGATATAAATGAATAAGGGATTATAAAAATTCAAGATTCTATAAATAAGTAGCTGTTTTTTCTAACTTGCACAAATATCATTAAAAATGCTATACTTTAAATTTCATTCTAGTTGTTCTCGAAACAATTGCCTAATTCTTACAATCACGATACATACTTAAAAAAACTACAGAAAAATAAAATCAGTGGTATCACAAGATGGTTTAAAATTATCGACAAGTGTCCATAATAACGTACAATTAATTATTCATAATAATTATTGTTATTTTTACAATCATTATGTACATCTTTTTTTTTATTTAATACGTTGCATACAAGTATACTCTACATTCATGTAAAATATACATATAATGCACTTTGTGATGTTGTTTTAAATAAATACTACCTATAAATAACTAAAATGTTATTTAAATTTTATTTACACACGCCATTATTGTTACTAAATATGAATACCAATATGATCATGAAATAAGAATACTGCATGTCTCAAGCACAAATGTGCAATTTGTAATATTTTAAATAAAGTGCAAATTTCAAAATTAAATAATAAATTGAAAATTAATATTATCTTGTGATATACTATATCAAACTTTGGATTCCAAAGAAAACAATTTTGGCACTGTACGCGTTCTGAAATAATTTTTAAATTGAAACTTATGAGCAATTTCTTTATAGTTAAGTAATACATAATCTCTTTCCAACGAAGAGCTGCCGTAAAAAAAATATTGCACAAACATGGCAAATAACTTCTAATTTCGAATTATAAGTTAAATTATTAATTTATGCAGGGTAATTAACTAAAAATTAAGAATTTTGAACATAAGAGATACAACAGGTCAACTTACTGTACATATGATTGAGGTAAATAATATCAAAAAATTGGAGATAAAATCAAACAACAAAAATGAAATTAATGCGATAAACACCTAATACCACCAAAACGATGAAAAGGACTAAGGCTTTCTCGCCGGCTTGATACTAGGGCTTTATGGCAATAGTTCAGGGCCGGTTCTGTGAGTACAGTTTAAGAATAACCGCAGCGAAAGATTTTACGCCCTCGCTATGTCGTCAATAAATGCATATAAGTTGTTTCCGGTATATTTTGAAGATAAATCTGCTCCCATTGCACTTATTTCCACAAATCAAGACATGAAAAGCATTAACTACTTTAAAGTACTAACTGTTAACATCTCATGTCCCTTAACTTGGTAGTTTTTGACGTTGTATCTCTTTGTGACTTTTCCTCTAAAAGTGTTGAATACACACTACGCAACACAAATTATTTATACAATTTGTATATTTCTCTATACTAGTTACAGGTACAATATAACAATAAAACTGAAACGAGTATTGAATTAGCTTTTTTCATGTAACAGCCACAAGTGTGCCAGACATTACAGTATATCGGTTGAGATCAAGCTACTGCGATGAAAATAGTAATAATAAAAAAATACAATTAATCCTAAATTTACACCATTTAGCGGCAGTTAATTTAACGAGGAAAGCCGTCACGATATACTGTTATTGTTGTGTATCGGACGACGTGTTAGAACGTCTTCGCACTTTTCCGGCACCGTTTGTTGGCGAACTTCTCTGTTGTTGATTGTAAATTTGTTGAAACTGTTGAATCTGAGCTTGCTTTTGCAGAGCCAATTGCAATTGTTGACTTGACAGTGAATTTGGCGAGGACGTCATTGTCACTTGAGCTACAGTTTAAAAGCAATTTTCAAAAAAAGTTACTTTCATTTCAAAAACCAAAACTTGAATCTACTTTTCAATAGCAAGTATTTAATTAATAGTGATTTTTTTTTAATTTTATAGAGCATACTGGTTATTTAAATTAGTGAATTAGTGAAAAGACTTTCGTTAATCATCAACTTGTTCAAAACCAAAGCCAAGAGTGCTTAACTGACTTGTGTTCGGTGTTGTCATCTTGATCGTGAAGGGTGTCCGCTGTATGTTCCTCGTTGCGGCGTTCTGTTGAATGCTGGACGTTTGCTGTAATTTCGGCCTTTGAACCGAAGTGAGAATTTGAAATTGCGGAGTACCTTGTGCAAGCGTCACTCCTGTTTGCGTAGCGTTCCTGATATTCGTTTGGTTAATCGGTTTGATGCTCGATGTGACCAACTGAGCTGTTAGAAATGTATTATATACGAATAAAGTGTGTTTCAGTTATATCCTAGTTTTCCCCACAATAATGTTATTCAATTTATTATTCATATTAGCAGACGACAGACACATTAATAAAATAAGGGTAATAGACTTACCAGTTCCCGCATTGGTCAAAACAACGGTAGGTGTGCCTAAGCTCGTGCCAGCTGTAACTTGTTGGGGTGGTATTGACGACGTGCCGGCATAGCCACCGGTCGTCGCTACCGGTAATGAAACAATAATACTGGCGGGATGACCCTGAATGCCTGCAGCCGAAGATACATTCAGCGACAGCGATATAGGCTGCGAAAAACCAGACAGTTGCACTTGTACATTCTGAAGTCCGGATAAATTTTGCAACGACGCTAAGTTGAGACTTTGCACATTAATCGTGTTCAAATTCTGCGTTTGAGTCGAGGATGCTGCCGCAGCAACGGGTGAAGGAGGCGGGGGACTGGAGAGAGGCGATATCACAGGATTGGACTTGGGCGATGATTTTATAAAGCTTGACTTGGTTTTATCAGACATCTTGTCCATATCAACATATATTTCTCCTGCATAATCCTTAAAAAATTTCGATCTCGCAACCTTTTCATCGTTAGAAAGAGTTACAGTTGATACCTTTGATAAATCACTATAAGCCGTCGCTTTGGGGCTGAGTATGCTCGACGCGGACGGTGACGGATTGAGGTTCATGTTTACTTTTGACGCGCTAGCCAATTTCTCGAGTAGAAGCGAATTTGAATTAGGATTGATGATATCAGGTCGATCTGCTGCAGGAGTACCAACTAATAAAGCAGACAAAGCCGACTTATCACTTGAATTCCCCGAAGAAGAAGATGATGAAGATGACGGCGATCTCTGGCTGATAACTTGTTTAATCGGCACCGTCTGGCCGAAGTTTATCGCGCTTGAAGACGGTACCGACGTGTTCAAATCGGAGAGACTCATTCTACTATTGTTTACCGCAATCAGGTTCGTATGATTTAAAACACGCGCATTAGGCAAACTTGAAAGCGTCATTTTTCGTCCGATGAGTTTCTGATTTATAGTCTGTACTTGTTGAGGTAATATAGGTCCACTGTTTATCGCGTTTACTACCGCTGCACTTGCATCACTATTCACATTACTAGCAGGGGAACTGTTCAATAAGTTTATAATTGCTGCATTGCTGCTAGTACTACCGCTCATGGCTAGTTTTTGCTGTTTGGCGTTCGCTAAAAATGACAACAAACAATTATTTAGTAAAGTTAATTTACTTAAAGTATATAAGAAGAATCACAAATACAGTTGCAAAATAGTTACCTGAAGCTTCTTGATACTGTTGTGCAGAATTCATAAGTTTCGTAGCTAAAGCATTAATTTCGGCTTCTTGGCTGGTAAGCTGTTGTTTGCTTTGGCTAGGCTGCATTTGAGAATGCTGTGTAAAATAAATATGAATAAAAAGTAACTGTTACAAAGTAAATAGTATACAATTATTATTTAGTAAACTTTTGGCAATTTCACCAATAAAAATTGTATATTTACTGCTGTTATAAATATGAAATTCTACGTTTAACGTCCACATTAACATTAGCAATTTTTATCAGCATTATACATTGTTATTTTCAAAAAGATTCAAATCTGCTTAAGATCAATTAATAATTTATTTTATAGTAAAAAAAGTAATCAAAAAGATTCAACCGTAATAATCTACCGAAGCAAACCATAAACATTATATACACTAAATATGGTACCATACTTACGATTAAGCAATTACCTTTATTTGTTTTACTGAATTAAAAATAATTTGACCTATATGCATCAAAAATAATGTAGTTGAATTTGTTCATCTTTCTAAATATGTAAAACTACAATTAATCATTTAAAAGTAACTTACAAGCAGTGAAACACTAGAAGCATTGTGAACTGTTGGGGTTTGCTGTAATAATGTAATCCCTGATGTAACTGTACCATTAACCAAGGGCATTGGACATGTGTTGTTCTGCAAATTTTGATTTAGTTGGGCTAAATGCTGTTGCGCCAAATTAACCTGAGCTGCCTGCTGAGCCGCTTGTAACTAAAAAATATTATCAATATATATACGTTACCAATAAATAATACTGTTTATAATTTGTAACTAACAACGAAATAAAAGCAGCCCTATAGTTTTAAATCAAATAAAATGATATATTAATGTAAGTATAAATGATATTTACCTGTGCCGCTTGCGCTTGCACGAGAGCGACTCTTTCTTTCAGTCCGGGGCTGAGTCCATATTTGATCCTAACAGATTTTCGACCTCCTTCAGTAAATATTTCGGTAAATTGTTGTATGTAACGGTTAGCATGTGCCCTGGAACCCAATGAAAAGCGACAGGCCACGCCGTTTCTTTCATCTTTTTTATGATCTCTATCCAAGTATAATTCGCCCAAATATTCCGAATTTGAAGGCCGTTGAAGTATTGATAATTTAATGTGATAAACTCGCGATTTCCCCTTTTCTTTTGAGGGCATGTCAGTCTCCAGGACATATTCTTCGATCAGCTGAGGAGAACAGTCGCTGGTCTCCTTCGGTCGTTGGTATGCCTTGAATTCGTTAATGTGAACGCCTTGGGATGGTGGTGCTATGTTCGGTGCGCTCAACGAGGGCACCGGTATGGGTTTGAACGTATCTTCAGGCATTTTCTTCGCGAGATGTTTCGATGCAACAAGGGCATTCTTTGACTTGGCGCGAAGTCGGGTAATGTAATTAAAAAGTTCAAGACCAGGACGATGGGTAAACTGATCTAGTTTCCTTTTCCTGTTCACTGTGTCTTGGGAGAATTTACGAGCAGTCCGACGAAGTCTGTGCGTGTTCAAGAGTTGACGACAGTGGTTCACTTTAGCTTGAATTGAAGCCACTGCCGGATTCGATTCCACACACAGTGACGGATTTGTTGCTAAGAGAATTTGACTCTCCAAATGCAACTTCTCTTCGCTTCCCCAGTCGACGTGTTGTTCCATTATTAAATTAATATCAGCTAATATACTCTGAAAAAAGTTCATCATTTTACTAAAATATTAACATAAAATAAAATAAATTAAACGAAATCTTTTAAAGACAGAATTACATTGCTATTACAGGCAGTATGTCTATTTATGTTTGCTATTAAGTTTCAAGTAGCAAACCACGTTTGATGAATAACAAAAAAAATGTTTTATAAGTGACTAAAATCAAATAACTACACAAAATAAAATTAAAATTCTATGCTTTATTAAAGTCGAATCTGAAAACAATGTCTAAATTACATATATATCTCAAAAGATACTCACCTGCAAAGTAGGCTTAAGAAGTACATGATGTATATCACATTTTTTAAAATGAGGATAAGCTCGCCTATAGTCTCTTACTTCTGCAATAATGCACCCACTATAAAACAAGAAATTAAAGTCTGGCTCTAAAACATCTATAAAGAAAGCAGGCAGCTCCTCGTTGTCAATGTAACGCAATAATTCATTTTCTTCATATGGCCATTTCAAAGTTTCCAACATGGTGGGTTCTTCAAAGTCACAACCCATTTCTGAATGAGGGCTACTTGGAAAGGCCAAAGAATAGCCCTTATTACCAGGATATAAATTCACTACTAATGTGTTCAGTCTTTCTTGTTCTACAAGCTTCTCCAATAGGTAAGAATTGTATTTTAATCCCTAAAGATAATGTAAAATTTAATATTATAAACATTATATATTACTATATTTTCATGAATTTCATAATCATTACATAAAAAATCAAACTGATATTAACATTTTTTTATTTTATATTCTGTGATATGAATAATCAATAGTACTTGTAATTTGTAACTTCAGTGTTACAAAAACAAATAAAATAGGAGAAACAGATCAATTAGATTATTAAAAGTATGACATACCTCACTTATTTGGTCAGGATTTTTAGCACTTTCTACGTTATAAAGCTCTTGCAATCTGGAATGAATGCAGAACTGTTTGTTAAAGGCATTCTCTAATAGGTTATTTTCTTGATGCCTAGGCAAAAGCAAGGAGGTCTGATTCAGTTTTGCTTTTTTAATTGGTCGCTGTAACAAACCATGTATAAATTTCTTCTCTAACAATATATAAAAAAAAGTATACTTCTCCCTCCTCGCATGCAGCCTCCAGGCTTTGCATCGTTAATGTATGTCAAAAACCACATTCAGTTCATCACATATTGTCTCACATTTGGAAATCTACATGGACAAGTCTTGCAAACCCTGAAGAAAGTACTTCATTAAATTCAGACGAAAATACTTTTTAATTTTTTTTTTTGGGTAGGGCAGTATTTATGTGACAAAAGCTGTTACCAAAAATTGACGATTTTAGCTAATATTGACTAAAAAATAAACATTTAAATAAATTTGACAAGTAGGTTACTATTCTACATTTTTTTATGAAAGTCTCTTACTTGTTTCCCAAGTAGCAAAATAAAACAAAACTTACCTTTTAAATATCATAATCGAGTAGAATTTATTAATACTAGTTCACATTTTTCTTATATTTTTTAAAATAGTACAGTGGAAAATCATAACGATGTAAACCGCAAGGGAAACCTAACCCCTCAGTCAGTTGAAAAATTTCTGTATCTCCCCAGTATAATAAATATTTAAAACTTACGCAACGTGATTGAAGAAAAAACTAAAAATTGTAAATGTAAAGACTAGTTTAAGTCTGTATTTTTGACTTTTGGCAAAAAAATAGAAAAACCCAGTTTACAAACATACTGGGNCATATTCTGCAGTCAGGTACAGAAACAGCTGTTTTACATTCCAATTAAAAATATCAGTTAAATTAGTTTGAAGATCGAATGTTAGAAATCCTAGATCATTTTTAAGTCGAGAAGCACTATAGTCTGGGACGTTTTTCCTGAAATTAATTAACAACGATTAGCATTATTTTTAAGCATTGAATTTAAATTCTTACACAACTACTTTTACCGTATTAATATGAGCGTTTGTTCTGTAATCTAAGAAAAACGTGGATGCAAAACAAGTAAATGTTAAAAATGCTAAAACACTTATGGTATACGCCACTATTGCATTTCCGCGCTGAAGAACAGAATGCATTTTCAACAAGTATAATTTAGAATAAATACGAGCAGCTTATTATCTTATTAAATAGTTTTTAAATATTAATGTATGAAACTCAAATATTTCTGACGTCTGTTGTTGATATCTGTGACATACACGTCATGTAAATGATAAACCATAGATGATCAATAGACCAAAAACCACAAAATTATAAATTCGAAAGTAATAAGTTTGTGATGTGGACAACAGAGTGCAGCTTAATTAAAGAACCACAGTTGCGTGAAAAGTTTACTTCAAAAGGATGTTTTACATTGTACATAAAATCAGTAGTTCTTTCAAACATGCTATTGGAAGATGTTTTTTTGGCAACTATTCTTCTAAATATTACAAATGATTCGTATGTTACACAAAAATCCGTAAACGTCTACAGTAATGCGTATGACATTGCAGTTGATGCAATCAAAAATAAAACTTTCAATGTTGCAACTGTACATGTAAGTTATACTACATTATCTTATGCAATCAAATTGTTTATAACACTTCACTATCATCTTTAGAATTTTTATCAATAAGACACTACTTTAACTTTTAACAACTTTTAACAAGTAACTTAACTTAAGATTTTTTGTGTCCGTTTTAATAACTAATCACTAATCAAGAAAGCGTATTTAAAAACCTTAGTGTGATTATTATTCAGTTTCTATTAATTTTTCTAGATAATCTATTAAATTATTTGCAAAGTGTAGTTTAATAGAAAATAAAAAAAAGACAATCAATTTTTGATTTTACTAGATTTATTTCTAAAAAGTGAAATCGCAATAAAAAAATACTGTGATTCAAAGAGAAGTCATCCATAGGATATCAAAATCATTTTTTTTCTAAAAAAAGTTAAAAATAAAAATGTTTCAGAAAAGTTTTAATAAAATAAACCGTGACACAATGAGTATGAGTATCCCTGCTCATGATAAATACCTAATCAACCAAAACAGTTATTGCATAATTTATTGTTATAACTTTTCTGAAGCATTATAAAACCTTTTGTCATTTTTTATGCTTATTTGATGAAAAGTTCCAAAACGTCATTTTAGAACCAATCGATTAGGCATAAAATAATAGAATTTAAATGTTTTTTGGTTTTTTATACTTTAATATTTATTTAATTTGTACACCAGGTACCTATCTAGAATATCAACATAAAAAAATAGTTATTTGTTAAAGTTACTTATTCATTAGTAGAAAAAGAAATGTCCTCTAATTGGTTTATAATCTTAATTAGTTTTTATTTGAATACATTGCATAATTATGATCTTTATTCCCAGTGATAAATTTTTGAGAACGTTTTCAAGGCACTGTGTATATAATATATATTTTTTAAATAATAGTCATTCATTTTCTCAGCATCTTTTTCATTATTATGCATATATCTATTTTTCGTTAACTTTTATTTTTTGTATTAGTTTTATTAATGAGTAGCTTTACTTATTGCTTAGTGATAATATCTCTGTGACTTAATGAAAAATTCAGTCAGTAAAGCATTCACTAACGAGATCTAAAAAAAGCATAACGAAATAAAAAATATTGCTTTCGATTTGTATGGCCAATCTGGCGGACAGTTATTAGTCTATACAGGCTTTTAACTAATATGTCGAAGTTACGTAAAAAAAATCAATGCCATTATCATCATTAATGGCCTTTGCGATGGTTGGAACGATGGCAATGTATAAAATGACGACCTTGTCACTAATGATGGGGTAAATACATATTGTTAGAAGCGATAACATAAAAATGATAATATTTAGAAAACATGCAACTTTTATTTTGTTTACATGGAGTCCGCTTAATTAAGTATAATAGATGCTTGTATGAAACATTATCATACTTTCCTTAAGTTAGAAAAACGAATGCAGTTGTTTTCTTTGAGATTCTAATGATAAGAAAACTCTTTTACATTTCTTGGATGGTATTTGTCTGATAAGACTGTTTGCTTTTATACTTACTTGATAGTGGAAATAAATACTAATTAGGAATAGGGGATGATTCTTGCACATTCTTGTGGTTGTTTATAATAAATAACAAAATATTTTCTTTCAATAATAATCCCGTTTTCATATTCATAGGAAAATAGAAGTTAAAATTTTGGTATTTAAAATTTAGTCAATAAATAATGATGTCTACACATAATGACCTTCTTTCCTTTTTTAATTTTCCAAGTACCCTCCTATAAGTTTCTTGGATGGAGATAAAGGATCTGGAATCGCATTTCATATATTTAATGCCATGCAAGAACGATTTCAATTCAAATACGAAATCGTTCAAAAAAAAGAAGACACCATGGTTTCCATAACGGAAATTTCGGATAAATATGGAAATGTAAAGTATTTTGTTTCACAATAGCTTACGAAATAAAATCGATCAGCAAGGATCAAAAACGCTCAAAAGTTTCCATTAATAAAACTTCAAGATATTTCGCTTATCGAGGAAGCCTTTTTGGTCTTTCATAAATCTAACAAACAATTGACTATATAATATTTTTATCAGTTTTTACATTTTCCTATTTCGCATAGGAAACCGACATAGCAGTTGCAGTTTTCCCTGTAAACGGAAAAATCAACAAAAATATGATATACTCTGTTACCATTGGAAGTATTCAATGGCATATCCTTATGAAAAGACCGAAGCTTTCGGCTAACGGTTCTGGTCTTTTACAACCATTTACTTGGGAGGTTTGGATTTTAGTTGTAATAACGCTTTTAGTGGTTGGAGCTGCAATGTATTTTATTGCTTTTATTCAGTCAAGATTTGAAAAAAGAGTTGACAAAAAAATGTTTTCTTTGCAATCTTGTATATGGTTTGTCTATGGAGCCATATTGAAACAAGGAAGTACTTTGAATCCTGTAACAGGTAATTTTCTAATTAAACATTTGAAGTAATTAATCAGTGAACAACCCTTATGTCAGGAAGCTAAAAGAAATACTAAAAAATGTATATTTGCAACTCTTAGATTTGCTCTTATGGGATCTTTCTCAGTCATGCACGTGTCGGCCGTGTGACCATTGGTCCCGCAGTCTTTTATTATTAACGTAAAATACCAAGACCTTTAATTTGATATATATGGTACATATATCTGCCACAAATATATACATACACTGCTATTAAATCGCTGTTATATAGGTTGTAAATTTTGGGGGAAGTACAGGGAGAGGTCTGAACAATAAAAAAGTTTGTATAGGNGGCTGGCCTAGAGGAGGGTAAATTCTCAAGGGCTCAATCAGGGTCAGCTACTTTACAGACACAAGGGATGTCTGAAAATTGTGTTCTATATTGTTCTTAGTTTACAACGACTGGTCGAAGCCGGCTTAATTAACTTCTGGTTCAGGAATATGTTACCGAGAGCTCAAATATGCCCTTTAAATCCCAAAGTAAACGAGAGACGATTAAGAAACAGCGATCTGCAACTGACTTATTACATCGTAGCAGTCGGTTTTGCTATAGCAGCTCTTTTTTTCTGTGCTGAATTGGTAAATAATATAATTAAAAAGAGACGGCATACAAGTATTGTGACGATCCCGCAAAATATGTTATTTACGAAATCTCCACCGCCGCCATATAGCTCTCTATTTGGACCTCCATTTCCTAAGGAACATAATTACAAGGTGAAACGGAAAGAAATTAATGGACGAGATTACTGGTGTGTAACTTCGGTTAATTCAAAAACAACGAAACTTATTCCTGTAAGAGCGCCTTCGGCTGTTCTGTTTAATTACACAAAATACTAAAAAAAAATCGGCGCTCTATTTGTGTTTTTTTTTTGTTACAAGTATAAAAGTAGACAAAGTCTAGTGCTTATTTGTAATAAAATAACATGCATTACTTAAAAGAAGCTGTTACGTTTATGGACACAGGACGGTCACATTTCTTTTAATGTGAACTGTACAAAAAAATATTAAATTTTGCACCAAAACGTGTGATTTTGTGTGATACATGTAATGTGAATTGTAAAAGTACCCTTTATATCACCGTATTGATGTATGGAGTAGTTTAAAAATCTCATTAAATAAAGAATACACGTCTAAATAATGTTACATTATTAACAGTGCAGTAACTACGATCGTAAGAACAACTTTTACACATATAACTGTACAAAATACTGTTCAATATTTTGACAGATACAAAATTTTGACAACAACTGTCAGCTGTAAAGATAAAAAACTATTTATTTTGTATTTGTAATTATTTTAAAATAAAGGGGCATAAGTGTAAACACAAAATAAGAAATATGTGCAAATAAATCATACAAACCCTAAAGCTTTAATTTGTTTATTGCCGAAAAGCCCCTGATAGATATTTGGTTGTATAAAGCGTATGTGAAGAAAGTTGCATTTAATCCAAATGATGTTCTGTCAGACTGTCCATTTGCTGTTACCGATTGGAGTTTACTTACAACATCAATTGCTTTTGCTTACTCTAAAAAATTTACGTACACCTTCTTGTTTGACAAAGCGTAAGTATTCATCTAATAAATAACAAGGAGAAGTTCCGGATGTTTCACTCAAAACATCTAAAATAATACAAAAACCCCAACACGAAAAAGCGCTCATAAAATTCCGACAAGACAAAAATTACTAAATTAGCCAAAAGGGATGATTATTATGTTAAAAAGTACGTAGAATTTAGTGGTGTCGATAGATTTCGGTTACGTTTTCAAACAAAGACTCAACGGTGATAAAACTATCTGAAATAATGCAAAAACCCCAACACGAAAAAGCGCTCGTAAAATAACGATAAGACAAAACTTAGTAAATTAACTAAAAGGGATGATTATTATGTTAAAAAGNTAGATTAAAATGGTAGTTTATACCATTTTTATTAATGAGTAAAACCTATTCATTAATGAAATAAATTCTTTTTGTAGCCAACTGAAGAGTTGTCGAAGGCATTAGTTGGTTCAACTAAAAAAGTGGTAAATACTTCTGATACAATAAATTTCATGAATAACTACGTTATTGGAAAAAATTATTTGTTTATTGCCGAAAAGCCCCTGATAGATATTTGGTTGTATAAAGCGTATGTGAAGAAAGTTGCATTTAATCCAAATGATGTTCTGTCAGACTGTCCATTTGCTGTTACCGATTGGAGTTTACTTACAACATCAATTGCTTTTGCTTACTCTAAAAAATTTACGTACACCTTCTTGTTTGACAAAGCGTAAGTATTCATCTAATAAATAACAAGGAGAAGTTCCGGATGTTTCACTCAAAACATCTAAAATAATACAAAAACCCCAACACGAAAAAGCGCTCATAAAATTCCGACAAGACAAAAATTACTAAATTAGCCAAAAGGGATGATTATTATGTTAAAAAGTACGTAGAATGTAGTGGTATCAATAGATTTTGGGTACGTTTTTAAACAAAAATACTCTACGGTGAGAAAATTTCCTAAAATACGAAAAAGCGCTCATAAAATTACCATGAAATGAACATTAATAAATTAACTAAAAGGGATGATTATTGTATAGAAAAGAACGCCGACTTTAGTGGTACCAATAAATTTTAAGTGCGTTTACAAACAAAAGCCTTTACGGTGATAAAACTATATCTAAAATAATGCAAAAAATCGCAAGAATGAAAAGCGCTCGTAAAATTACGACAAGACAAAAATGACTAAATTGGCCAAAAGGGACGATTATTATGTTAAAAAGTACGCAGAATTTGGTGGTATCAATATATTTTGGGTGCGTTTTAACACAAGGTCTCTACAGTGTTAAAATTATCCAAAATACAAAAAATTGAGTGCTATAATTAAATGTAAAGAGATGTTTTGAGAACAATCGTTCAGTGGGGCATCGGGAACTTCTAATTACAACTTAATAGGAATTTCGGGAAATCCCGAAATACACTGGCTGGCCTAGAGGAGGGTAAATTCTCAAGGGCTCAATCAGGGTCAGCTACTTTACAGACACAAGGGATGTCTGAAAATTGTGTTCTATATTGTTCTTAGTTTACAACGACTGGTCGAAGCCGGCTTAATTAACTTCTGGTTCAGGAATATGTTACCGAGAGCTCAAATATGCCCTTTAAATCCCAAAGTAAACGAGAGACGATTAAGAAACAGCGATCTGCAACTGACTTATTACATCGTAGCAGTCGGTTTTGCTATAGCAGCTCTTTTTTTCTGTGCTGAATTGGTAAATAATATAATTAAAAAGAGACGGCATACAAGTATTGTGACGATCCCGCAAAATATGTTATTTACGAAATCTCCACCGCCGCCATATAGCTCTCTATTTGGACCTCCATTTCCTAAGGAACATAATTACAAGGTGAAACGGAAAGAAATTAATGGACGAGATTACTGGTGTGTAACTTCGGTTAATTCAAAAACAACGAAACTTATTCCTGTAAGAGCGCCTTCGGCTGTTCTGTTTAATTACACAAAATACTAAAAAAAAATCGGCGCTCTATTTGTGTTTTTTTTTTGTTACAAGTATAAAAGTAGACAAAGTCTAGTGCTTATTTGTAATAAAATAACATGCATTACTTAAAAGAAGCTGTTACGTTTATGGACACAGGACGGTCACATTTCTTTTAATGTGAACTGTACAAAAAAATATTAAATTTTGCACCAAAACGTGTGATTTTGTGTGATACATGTAATGTGAATTGTAAAAGTACCCTTTATATCACCGTATTGATGTATGGAGTAGTTTAAAAATCTCATTAAATAAAGAATACACGTCTAAATAATGTTACATTATTAACAGTGCAGTAACTACGATCGTAAGAACAACTTTTACACATATAACTGTACAAAATACTGTTCAATATTTTGACAGATACAAAATTTTGACAACAACTGTCAGCTGTAAAGATAAAAAACTATTTATTTTGTATTTGTAATTATTTTAAAATAAAGGGGCATAAGTGTAAACACAAAATAAGAAATATGTGCAAATAAATCATACAAACACTAAAGCTTTAATAGTACAATTGAATTATGGGTCTTCATACCTAATTTGAACAAAACAAGTAAGTGTTTTAAAATCTGTTTGTGTTAATCTAATTAGTATTCAGTTCGCTTAAATAATATATTTTTACAGTTAATCAATCAGAATGTCGCTCACAATTTCACAAATTATTGTTGACGCTAGACGGTTAGCCGATCGTTTAAGAGAACGTGATACCGTTGCTGATATTTTACTAAATGAAACCCATGCAGTTAGTAAGAAAATAGATGCAATGAAACAGGTATAAATTAATTACATTGTAATGTGTATAATTAACTAATAGCGATATTTTAGTACCAAGAAGAAGTAGAACAACTTAATGAAGTTGCCCATCAAAAACCCAACTCACAATTAATAGCAAACATTCAGAAGGAAAATAGGCATTTACGAGAAATACAACAGGAAAATCGTGAATTAAGAGCAGCCTTAGAGGAACATCAGACAGCTTTAGAACATATTATGTCTAAATATCGGCAACATACTAATGCACAGATTTATAACACTAGAATTAACTTTAAAGGTCTTCAGGAACAAAAGTATTTTGATATTATAAAAAGACAGGCTGAAAAGATTCAAGAAATGGCTGCTGTAATGGAAAGGGCTGCAAAAGTTGATGAAGAGAGGGACTATAAGGAAGGAGAAGTGATGAAAAAATTATTAATAGAAAATAAGGTAAGCCAAATGTACTTAAATCTAGATAATTAAGAAATAAGACACTAACAAACTAGATTTTAAGTGGCAAAATTTGTGAGTGGTAGCTTATAAGGCTCAAAATGAAATAATGTGAAGCAGAGTAAAAAAAATTTACTTTTAAGAGTTGTTATGTAAAACCTTACTTATGTAAAGATAAATTTAATGTAAAATGAGGGAGCAATTTGCAAAAAGATATACTGCATACAAAGAAATTAATTGTTATTAACAATTTTAAAATTACTGTGAAGAAACCAGTAGTAATAAGTCAATAATTACTTAGTTTTAATTTCCTGAATTTAAAAATTTAAATTCGTTTGCTTTCAGGGCCTAAGAGAAATGTTAGAGATATCATGCAATTATGGATCATACAACAAACCTTTAACGAATACAACAGAAGACAAATTTGTTCAAACAGAAAACCAAATTAGTTGAGTTTTGAGTGAGTATAGTTTATTTGTTTTATGTTTGTAAATGTTATTTAATGTAGGTAATAAGTCCATTAGATGGAAGTTTTCTGATCGTATATGTATTTAATTTAATGTATTGTACTACAGATATTATACAACTTTTATGGGTTATTTCTAGTAAATAAAACTTGTTAACTTTTTTAATTTAAGAGAACAACATTTTTCTTAAATATTAAAAAGAAAACAACGGATCTTTTATATAGTGCATCGGGAACTTCTAATTACANATTTATTTTTAATAAAAATACTTTATACCATTTAAATATTGTTAGCAGAAATAAAAAATAAAAATATAAATATTAATGTCCTCTGTAGTAAATTGATATTTATTTGATAACTAAATGTTGTGACGTACCTACATTATACTCATTAATTCTTAAAAGTGATTTAATATATGGTATTTTGAATTTACAACACACAAAACTATTGTAAATGTAGATAGTGACAAAATATTATTTAGTAAACACGCGATTATGTGAATACTAGAAATATTAATGGATTCCAGAATCATTGAGGAATTATTGGAGATCTGAACAGTTTGAGTCTCAAAAGAAATATTAAAAACCAAAATCATCGAATTCCAAAGATACTATTATCGAGTACCAGATGAATTAAAATTTAGGGCAATCAACTTCTCAGAATCTTCTAGGAACTAGTATCTCGAAAAACGCCTTCACCTTAATACCCTAAGGTATACAGATAATTGTTTAAGTCTAATGTTACTGCTGGGGTCATGTATTATATGTTTAACTAATTGTAAGTATTTCTTCATAGTTATTTTAGTAATCAATTAAGGGAAGGAAAGAGTAGCAATATATGAAGATGCAGCATTAATTAAGAAGCCAATTAAACTCATTACAGTACAATATTCTTAAAAAGGTTTTTATTAATACAATAAATTATAAACTAGTATTACATTCTCGAGACCGTATATTCATTTGGAAACTTGAATGAATGAGAACCATAAGCAGTAACAAATGGAAGGAGCCCTGCATTTGGAATTATGTTCCAAGTCAAAGTAAGTGTCACATTTGGATTTGCCCTGTTAATTTATAAAAAGATAATCAAAACAATTTATAAATCACAGGACTAATTGTTACCTTAGGCCATTACCATCATCCCAAAAGTAATATTTGGTATTCATGTTTTTAAAGTCTAGCACAGCATTTTCTCCTCTTAAAATTATTTTATCCCACAAGATTACCTAAAACTCAATATTTTATCTGTTGATACAGAAATTGGTATGTAATTTTACTTGATTTAGTTTGTTATCAGGAGTTTCATATTCTGCAGTCAGGTACAGAAACAGCTGTTTTACATTCCAATTAAAAATATCAGTTAAATTAGTTTGAAGATCGAATGTTAGAAATCCTAGATCATTTTTAAGTCGAGAAGCACTATAGTCTGGGACGTTTTTCCTGAAATTAATTAACAACGATTAGCATTATTTTTAAGCATTGAATTTAAATTCTTACACAACTACTTTTACCGTATTAATATGAGCGTTTGTTCTGTAATCTAAGAAAAACGTGGATGCAAAACAAGTAAATGTTAAAAATGCTAAAACACTTATGGTATACGCCACTATTGCATTTCCGCGCTGAAGAACAGAATGCATTTTCAACAAGTATAATTTAGAATAAATACGAGCAGCTTATTATCTTATTAAATAGTTTTTAAATATTAATGTATGAAACTCAAATATTTCTGACGTCTGTTGTTGATATCTGTGACATACACGTCATGTAAATGATAAACCATAGATGATCAATAGACCAAAAACCACAAAATTATAAATTCGAAAGTAATAAGTTTGTGATGTGGACAACAGAGTGCAGCTTAATTAAAGAACCCGTAAAATTTAAATGCTACAACTTGTTTAATTTTATGAAGTACAATTTAGGCTAAAGATTATTAGATTAGACAATGTAATTCGTCAACTTGAACAAATGAACAATTAAGGTCAAAAATGTTTATTTTTTAAATGTTTTTATGCCATAACAAATCCCTTTTATTTATACTATTATATTCTATTACACATCCCAACAATTTCTGGATGCTCAAGATTGTTCCTGACAGAATTCTAGGAAATTTCCGTTTTTTCTCTTCAATATAGGTGCATAGAAGTCTTTTACTTAAATAATTGTCACACACTGACAGATGTGCAACTTCTACATATTCTTGCAAAGAGCATGACAACATTTGCACTGATATTCGCATGCATTCATAATTCTTAAGTTTGTGGGCAGGAACAGCAATCAACTGATAATGAAAACCCAAAGAATCATATAAACATCTTAATATTCTGATAATATTTTCAATTTCATGATCCTCTTGTTCTAAACAGTCTGTAGTTGCAACAAATAATTCTATAGCTGTTTCTTGACCAGTAGTAAATAGGCTTGCTTCTGCTTGTATTGGTGGCTGATATTTTCTACCACATGTAAAATATTTCAAAGGAAAATAACCGATTTGTATCAAATGTCTGGTAAAATAGGCCATAAATGAGCATAAAGATGCACCTCCAACTAGATGCAAACGGTTTAATTCAGAAACAAATGTGTCCTCAGAACTTTCTAAAATAAAACTTTCATTTGGATTATTAAAATCTCCACCACATCCTTCAACAACAATGCTTCTTGCAAAATCTGGATTTGAAAAATAAGTAAATAAATTCTTTAACATGTATTCTCGAAAATAATCTAGAATTTTCATTTCAAAAGTTGCACATTTGTGCTTGAAAAAATAATAGAGAGGATCATAAAATTCTATTAAATCATTCTTTTCAGCTATACTTAAATGATTTTCTGATTTCTCTGTAGGCTTTTCTAAAAATTGATGCAGCACCTCATGATCTGATATGGGTGTTTTCTTATGCAAAATGTTTGGCAAACTTAAGGCTTTTATTGCAGCATCTTCTTCTATACTATATAAATATTCCTTCATTGTTTTTAAATCATCTTTAATAATTCTTGCATGCATCTTAAGTTTCTTTTCTTGGTTTGCCTCTACATTAATGTTGGAAGTCAAATTAGCGATTTCTTTTCCAATTTCTATTCGTGTCTGATCTAATATTATCTTTCTTTGCAATAAATTTTTATAAAACTTCCAAGTTTTTTCTATATTATTTAAATCTAAATCTAATTTACGGACTTTAATGTTATTAAGCAATTCTCCTTTATTTTGTATTCGTTCTTCAAAATCAATGTGTGGAATTAAGACTGCAAAATTTTTTTGTGCCTTGTCACCAGTTATATACAATGCAGACGAAAAATTACGAAAAATGTGTTTACAAAAGTTACTGTTTAATTCTTTTACTGGGAACTTCATCATCTTTATGAGGTTGTGTTTCTATTTTCCTCTTTTCAGGAAAATTAAATGAACCATGCCCTGCTGCTCTTTCAGAATCTTCTATTGTATATGGGTCTAATTCCAATGCTTTTAATCTTCGTTTATGAACTTTAGTTCTGAAATGGTCTTCCAATGCTGTATTGTTAATGAAGTACCTTGCACAATGAATGCAATAAAACTGAGCACTACCAGGCTTATCAAGATCTGTTTCTTGATTTAATAATTTTTCGGCATTTTGAGGCTTTAAATCTTCGTCAATCTTCAAAAAAAGATTTTATGTTACATAATTTAAAAACGAACTAAACAACGTTATTCTACCTGGTCTAAATCTTTGGTCCTCCTTTTCGTTCGCCACTTTTTCTTGAGATGAGTATCACCGTAGTGGTATTTTCTTCTCTTGTAAACCATTGAAATTTAAAATATACGAAATAAACTATTGTACTGTAACATTCACGAAGAAATAAGTTACCGAAAGAAAGCTAAAGAACGTGACAAAATTGATAAGGTTAAGTTTTCATCATGGAAGAATCTTCTTTTTCTTCTTTGTCGCATTTCACTTTTTGAACATTTTTAGCCACAAAACTGCTCTCTTTATTGATCATTATTATTGATAGTAAGGAATAATCTACAAAGTATTATCAGACATGTTTTAATGTTCTTAAAATTTTAATAGTATTATTTACAGAATTTTCTTATAAGGTTTTTTAATTTGAAATATCCCGATCGTTTGTGATGGTACCATTTATGTTTTGTACTATGACTTTTATTATGCCGCAAGTGGTCACGTGACCACAATCGACTGAAGTAAGGTTTGCGGCCACGAGGTTTTGATGGTTTTGATTTATATCATTTATATTTAAGGCCATCAATAAAAATATTTTTTTCGGGTCCGTAAAGATTAAAATTAGGTGCAGAAATAAAAATGCCATCTAGTAATCCCTTACCACCTAAAGAAAATGCCTTGTTTAAACGAATATTGGTACGTATTTGTCAGTTCAGATTGACTCAAAATATATTTTATTTTGAAAACGTTTACTGTATAATTTACCTATGTTATTAATGTGAAATTGGTTTAGTCCTCAATTTTTGTATGGGCGAATATTCGTAATTTTTCCAATTTTTGATTGTTCTCGCCGATAACTTTTATAAAAAAATGTTGAAGATGGAATGTAAAATATCATTGCAGTAATTAGAATTGCTTTTTTACAGAAATCTTATGAACAAAAGCAGTACAAAAATGGACTCAAGTTTGCAAAACAAATATTATCTAATCCAAAGTTCTCTGAACATGGAGGTTAGTTTGTGGCTATTTTTATGTCAACTGTATAACTGAAAATGCATTTTCAGAAACCTTGGCAATGAAAGGATTGACTTTAAATTGCCTTGGAAGAAAAGAAGAAGCATATGAATATGTCAGAAGAGGCTTGAGAAATGATTTGAAGTCCCATGTTTGTTGGCATGTATATGGACTGTTACAAAGATCAGATAAAAAATACGATGAAGCAATTAAGTGTTATAGAAATGCTTTAAAATGGGACAAAGACAATATACAAATATTAAGAGATTTGTCTCTTTTGCAAATACAAATGAGAGATTTAGAAGGGTATCGGGTAAGCTAGACAATTTAATTTTTACTAGGCATCATTGTAGTTATTTGAGTTTTAGCCAATGTAATTATTGTCTTGAGCTTTAGTGAATAATTTATTTATCAATGAGAAAAGAGCAGGAAAACCCAATATTTAAATTTAAAAAATTATGATTAATAATAGATAATTGTCACTACAATTTGACTAATTTGGTAAATTAAAGCTGTTCTCTTTTTTGAGTAGGACACTCGATATCAGTTGTTGATGCTAAGGCCTGCTCAGAGAGTATCCTGGATTGGTTATGCTATGTCTTTCCATTTGTTAGGAGATTACAAAAATGCTTTGAACATTTTAAATACATTTTTAGACCAACAGCAAGTAAGTATCTTTATTATATACAATGTGTTTAGCCTCACTATTTGATTATTTTATTTTAGAAAGGCAGTAATTTTGATTATGAGCACAGTGAACTACTTTTATACCAAAATATGGTTATTCAAGAATCTGGAGACTTCCAACAAGCGCTTACACATTTGAAAGTTTATAATGACCAAATTGTGGACAAACTAACGTACAAGGAATTATTGGGAGATCTGTGTCTAAAATTAAAACAGTTTGACAAGGCCGAAAAAGTATACAAAGAACTTATGAAACGCAACCCAGAAAACACTTTGTACTATATAAAATTAATAGAAGCCAAAAGATTAACAGAAACAGATGAAATAATAATGTTTTACCTTGATTTGGTGGAAAAGTATCCAAAAGCAATGCCTCCAAAGAGATTACCTCTCAATTATGCTCAGGGAGATCAATTTCGAAATTTAGTAGACAAATATCTTAGGAGGGGATTAACAAAAGGGGTGCCACCCCTATTTGTCGATTTACGTTCATTATATGTCGACCCCTTGAAAGTAGAGATTATTGAGAAGCTCCTACTACAGTACGTGGACTGTTTGCAAAGTTATGGCAAATACAGTGATACAGAAACAAACAACGGTCCCAAAGAACCAGCCTCAACTTTATTATGGACTTACTATTATCTCGCTCAACATTATGATCATCTCAGTAAAGCTGAAGAAGCGTTGAAATACATAGACTTGGCTATTAACCACACTCCAACTCTCATTGAATTGTTCGTTGCCAAAGGCCGAATATTTAAGGTGAGAATATTGGAATTTCTTTTATTTTTCCTTTGTCTAACTAATTTTATTTATTTACTTGTGTGTTAACATTTTTTTATGATCAAAAACGATTTTGTTGCAAGTTAAACTAACAACATTTAATTGAACAATGTTTTGTACCTCCTAATCTTTATGTACTTGTAAAACTACCCTGTACAAGTAAAATTACTTTATTGGTATTATTGTAATACTTCAAAAGTTTTTCTTTATCTTTTCAGCATGCAGGTGATCCTTTAGAAGCTTGCAAATGGTTAGATGAGGCTCAGGCTCTTGATACAGCCGACCGTTATATAAACTCTAAGTGCGCGAAGTATATGTTACGAGCAAATAAAATAAAAGAAGCAGAAGAAATTTGTTCAAAATTCACACGAGAAGGTGTCTCTGCCATGGAAAATTTGAACGAAATGCAATGTATGTGGTTCCAAACAGAATGCGCTCTCGCTTACCAACGACTTGGCAAATACGGGGAATCCCTTAAAAAGTGCCATGAAATTGACAGGGTAAGCGTTTTTCGATGTATATTATCTATAATACTCTCGAGGTTAAAAAAATGGTCTGTAGGTCAAAACATTTAACATAAGTTAGGTAAATCTAATAAATTTTAAATTAAATTAACAAATAATTAGAATTTGCAAATATATTTTTTTATCTCCTTATTAAAATTTAACTTCAAGTATTTTTTAATTAGAAAATTTCTGATATTTAAATTTCAAAAATTTCGCACATTTTTTTTACAAAGGTTGGCAATGAAAAACTAAAGTATTAAGACTCCTCTCTGATTGGCTGATCAACAAAAGTCATTTCGAGGGATGCCATTATTTATAGAAACGTTATTCTCGAATTATCTCTGCAATTTTTGGAAATTTCTTGTAGTAATAGTGTTAAGAATTTAAAAAGTTTTATCAAAATACGTCCTGTACATGATTCACAATATGAGGTATGTTTTTATTTAATTCGTCCTCGAAGGATTTTCCTTATTTTTTAAGATAAATTATCAACACTGACTCATGCCGTGGTAAATATTAAAAATGATAAAAATTGGGAATATCTTATTGTAAACGAACAAAATTCGTTAGCTTTTGTAAATTGCCAACAATGCTAGAATTATTTTCATATATTTGTCGATATTAAAATAACAATGAAAAATTTTACCACTTGGAGCTCTTCCTAATGCTTTTAATACAAATTCAATCATTTTGTAAATATTCAATTGAACAAACCTTTTCTAATTACAATGCATGGCAGACTTTCAGTCGTTAATTTATCAATTTTAACTTAGAATGATGAAATTTTAAGAAAAAAAGAAACATGAGTATACTGGTTATATTTTGTAACACATTCACTCATTTATCTTCAAACAGTCTTGCAACTATTGTAGAGAATATTTATATATAAGATGTTTAAGAAGCTAGAGTAAATGGTGCCTTTCATTTAAATATTTTGTATCGAATCGAAGAAGATCTTAATTCCTGTATCACTATTTTGAATATGAAAATAAATAGAATTTTAGTAATAAATAATTTACTTGTATTCGTGCACCTGAAGAAGGCAAATAAATTATTTGTAACTAAAAATATGTGCTTATTTTGGTATTTAAAAATTGTGTAATATACTACAATGTCGTAGAGTTAATTACATGTTGAATTGAATGTGTTGTGATCATTTTCCTCTTATTTGATGAACTTTTTTTTACAGCATTTTACCGAAATTATTGAGGACCAGTTTGATTTTCATACGTACTGCATGCGTAAGATGACTCTACGCTCTTACATGGGTCTATTGAGGCTAGAGGACGTTCTTCGCGGCCATCCATTTTATTTTAAGGCTGCACGTTGCGCTATCGAGGTTTACTTGCATCTGTTTGATAAACCACTAAAGGACGAAAATGCCGAGCAGGATATCGACATCGGTAAGTTCTTTTGCATGTTTCATTTCACCGTTTTTTTTGTTTCCTGATTAGCTGGTAATGTTTCCATTGGAAACAAAACATTCCATGTTTTAATGTAATGTAATGTAGTTAATACGATTAAGTGAATCGTAGAATCGAAAGTTCTACATAAAAAGAGCTCCATTACATCTAATTGCTAATTTTTTAAATAAATTGGCTTATCGTCAAAAAAATCAAACAGAAAAATGAAAACAAAATACAAAACTGAAATTAAGAATTGTACTAAATTTCAAATGAAATTTTAATGCATGTGAACTCATAATGTGTATGTTATTGAGTTGATTTATCTTTTCACTTTAATAACAATATCCAGATTTGATTCTCCTTTAAAAATATAATAGGTAATAATTTTAAAGCGATTAACACTGGTTGGTGAATTCTAAAAATTTTATAAACACTAATAAAATTATCTGATCTATTGTCACATTTTATTTTCAAATTTCAACATAAATAATGTCATTCATGGATTGTTCTAGCACGAGTTGTATATTTTATTCTCACTATGCACCTGACGGTTCGATCGCACCTTTTAAAAAAGTTCCCTTCTGTCCCCAATTCACTCTTTGGTACTTAAATATGTAAATCACAGTAGCGTCTCGAGCGAACCTCTCGCAAAGTAAGAAAATACAATTCCACACCGAACAACGTTCTTAAGGAACACATTCATTCACTTCAGTCGACCATTGTCATCATTGTCATTTTTGTAATAGTATGGGAAGTCATGGTGCCTTTGTTGCTGCTGCTGTTTGGTTTGTTGGGGGGTCAAGAAGTAGAAATGAGCCTCCTCGTCCCCCGGAAGTTTATAAGAAATGAATGCTGTGGCTGGGGGGTTAGTTCCTCTAGGGGACGTAGATTGTTGACGTCGGTTTCCTTGGTAATATGTAGCTGGGGTGTCGTAGTAAGAGTTTGGTCGCGTTGACCTTTCTCGAATGTCAGCAGAAGTTTGTTGTGGATAATGTTGTGTTTGCTGTGGTATTTGAATAATTTCAGCGTCTGGATTAATTTGCAATCCTCTTGTGTTATAATTTACGTTTATATCGTCGTGCAAGCTGACTGGTTTCCTTGGACGTGGTTGCCAGGACAGATTTTCTTCAGGAGTTTCATACAGTTCTCTCCTTCCGTTTATATCGTACACAAAAATATCGTAATAAGGATATGGAACACCGGAGAGATGTGACAAATCTTTTCTAGCACCGTTTGGTCTGTATTTTTCTTGCTCTTGCTGATTGTCATAGTATTGGTCTACGGTGGGTCTTTGAGTTGATCTGTAGGCATCTTGAGGTGGAACAAGAAACGGACTTGACTGTCTAATTACAGGTCCTTGGGATGTCACCTCAATAGCTGGTTGAATGTTTACAGTATATTTCCGATTATCATTTACTGCATCTGGAACCTTCGTATTTCGAAAATGTTCTTCATTGATGCGATGTTGTTCTGGGTAATTGTGAGCTTCGAAACTGTATTGGTAAAGAGGTTGAGATTTATGCCTTGGGTTTGCATTGTTAGAAACAAAAGAATCTTGGCTTGTTTGGAATTTTCTAATTTGATTTCTAATCTGATCAATGTGTTGTTTGAAACTGTCGTCGTCAGACGGTGCCGGACTGAGTTTAATTTGACGAAGAAGTGGGGTTGGTGGGGGCGGCGCATGATATCTATGTCTGGGAGTTTCTTTTACTATATCAGGTGATGGAGTTGAAAAAGGTACTTCAGATTTAGGAACTGATTGTCTGTACTGATCGTCGGGGCTTTCTTCGAAGTAATAAATATTTTTCGGCCTCTTAGTCCTTTGCACAGGAGTACCTCTTTTTAAACCAGCGTCTGCGTACGCGGGGGTTATATATATTTTAACTGGTATTCTTTTCGTGGTAGATCTCGTGCTAGGTTCATCAAAGTTAATTTTGTTAGACACGATACTATTTCTGTATGCAAGTAAGGAATTAGGAGTTGTCGTGTCTTTAATTTTGTTTAACTGAACATCTTCCAAATGTTGGTATGTTGGCGTTGTGACGTCTGGTATGGTTTTTATATGAATTTCTTCAATAAGACGGGAAGAAACAATGCTTGGTTTTTCTGTTACACGATTTTCTGGACGTACGTGTACGTGTTGGGGTTGAATTGAAACAGGCCTCTGAATAGTTCTATTTCTTGCTCTGAATATAGGTCGGTTAAAATGATTGGGAAGCGTGGTCTTTTCCACAAACGACACTCTAGATTGTTTTGTTTTGTATTTTTGAAAAGACGGGGTTGTTGAAGAAGCATAAGTTGTTTTGGTTGTGGGCGGAGTTGTAGTTGTAGAAGTTGTGGTTTTTGAAGTTTTCATTCGGAATCTTACACTTGTTTTCGACGATATGCTTGTCTTTGTGGTCACCGTTTTTGATCTTTCTGTTGGCGTACCTCCTTCTAACGGTGCAAAGAAATCAGGGGGAGGTGGGAGTATTAGGCCGGGAACTAAAGGACCGGGGGGTACTTTGGTAGAGTTGTCAACTTCATAGTAGAAACTATACGGTGGTGGATAATAGATGGACGGATCTTCTTCATCTATCATAACAGTTAAATTTGGTGGTGGTAATACGACTGCTCCAGGGGGTAGTGACGCAAAGTGGGGTGGTAAATTTGAGCTGTTTAATGAGAAGACCGGTGTGGGAACGGTTTCGGTAACGACTGAAGGATTTCCGAACGCAGTTTGCCCGGTAATAGAGTTGGTCGGATCTTGATTTGTGGGTGGGAAGTATGGGCCACTGCCGGGGATGTATCTACGGTAAAAGAATCATTTAAGTATTTTTTTCTAACGGAATGGTCTGTTCATCTTACCCTTCCGGGGGAGGCACCGGCGTCGAGGTTTTCTCTGATTCATCAAGCGTTCTCGTAGAGTTTGTGCCCAGGATTTGGAGGGGCCCTCCTTCGATGAGCTGTACTGGAAAGGGCGGCGGCACCTTAGGACGGGTCGGTAACTTGACGGGGCGCTTTGGAGCCTTGTAAAAGTCGATGGGTCGCCACGCATTCCCACCCCCGTCTGTCGTCTCGTAGGGCTGAAACGTACCGCCCGTCAATACGAGCAAATGACTGTCTGCCAACCATATTTCTTTCTTTGCAAGACCCCCTAATGTGTGTACGGTGTCGTTTGGTATTTCACTGTTCGCTTCGTAACTTAGTATGCCTGAAATATCAAGATTCATTTTCTATTAGTGCCTACAGGATGTTATTGAAATCATTAGATTAATACGTAAACGTGGAAACTTTTGTTACACTTTTTCGGTAGATGGGAATGAAATTTAATCATTAGAAAAGCGCTGATGGTAATATGAAAATCCTGCGAGTGTCTTGACGTTAAATAAGTCGTTTAACAGCATTAGGTATAGAGATCACTTTACAGCTAACATACTTTACATTTGTCAAAGGACCTTTAAATAAATTGCAAACCCGTTAAATGTGAGTAAGCCAAAATAATTGTTATTGAAAAAAAACGTTGTGGTAAATAAATTCTCTTTTAATTATATTAATGGAACAAAAAACAAATGAGGACGTTCTGGTTTCTATTAATTAAAATCTTGTAGGCAATTAAAACTAACTTTGGTTTGGTTTTTTTGTTTTAAATTGTAAACTGTATATCCTAATACACAAAGGTTACGAACTTTTACAAGTGTATGTTACAAATACAAGTTCTTCCCCCCTATCAGTCACTGTGAGCTCGAAACTGTTATAACCATTGCTTCGAGTGGTCGAAATTCACTTTTGTGAACAATTTGTTTAATCAATTTTATATTGTGTTAAAAATTGTTTGAAAAATTAAATTTAAAGGAATTGTTTGTGAATAGGTATGCAACACATCGTACACTTCAGCATAAGAAATTGCTGATAGTAACTACGTAATATTAGTTTGTCCCGTGCTGACAGCACTCATAATTTCTTTTATATATAATATTCATGTTCAAGTGATTCTAATTTTAATACGTTAACTAGAATTCGTTTGTGGTACTTTTTGAAATATAACTTCATCTATTACCTGGTCGTTTCGGAGGTTTGAGGAAAAGCTCATTTTGTATGAGAGCGTACTTTCCTTCAGCCACTTGTTGCGCTAATGTTTTCTTCTCTTCACTGTCATTGCTACTGCCGACGCTGCTTTTGTTTTTCTTTTTATTAAATTTGCTTCCTCCTCCAGAGCTCAGTGCCATAAGGTCGTCATCTGGGAAGCTTTCCTCGTAGTTTGTCGTTATTTCCCTTCTTAAGTACGGTGAAATTTTATAACTGTGCCCTCTACTACCATCTGCATCCAGTTCTGTGGCCTCTGTTTTATATTTACTTGATATTAATAGCAGTAGCATCCATGAAAAATGATTGAGTAGCATCTAAAAATTAAAATATAATGTAGTAAATATACGAAAGATCGTTTTAGTTGAGTCTGGAAAATTTAGAAAAAGACCAAGTTCGCTAAAGTTTTCCCCATTATAGTCAAATAAAATAATAATTAGCTAATTTGTTTAGAAGTCAATTTTTTTAAACCATCACAATCGAGACAGTAAATAGTGGTTATAAATAAAATAAAAATAGTAGAATAATTGATTTTATAGAAAATCATTGACTTTAATCTTTCGGTAAAAAATTGTTAAAATGTTAATTCATTTGGATATAAACATGTCATTGTCCGATACTTCTTGTTAATTTTCGGTCGGTGATCGCGCATTTTAATATTGAATGAAAAGGTTGAAATTCTGGATATTGTTGCCGGGTTCTTTGTTTACGTGCAAATGTTTCGTCATACATAACAGATGGCATCTTCAATGCTTTTCTTATCATGGTCAGCGGCTCAATGTCCTGCAGTATCCAGAAACTCAACTGTTTTCATAGAGTATCGGCCGTGAAAGCCTGCGACTCATTTTAATATTGTTTTGATCTTGAGGGTACTTTTTATACCATCATACCATATTT